TTGAGTGTACTCAAAATGTTTACAATTGCCTAATTTTGTGACTTTGGTTTAGTCCAAAATCAAGCGTTTTTGATTCAACTTCGCCAGGTAAGCGACCCTGGCTTCTGTTTTTGTAGTCATGGAGAGCTGCCACGTGCTTCCTTGATCGCGTATGACGTTCTGCAGCGCCACGACGCCCACGCGAAGGAAAAAATCTTTGTTTTTTTGTTTGTGATCGTGAAAGTGAACAATTAAATTATTTTACATGGGGAACCGAAAGAGAAGCACCAGCAGCTCTGGAAGTGGCCATAGGAGGAAGAAAGGGAGATACTACGCCCCAAAGCAGTCAAGCTCTGTACCAGTTGTGGAAGAAGGCACCGTTGAAGCGGCGCAGAGCGCTTCCTCTCGGAAGATTTCGTCGAGGCCAAAATGGCTTAGTGATAATTATGGTCATGGAATTTGAATCTGAGCTTGTGTGCTCGAGTGACAGTGATTCAGACGAGTCGTCCAGTGATCATGGTGATAGCTGCCAGGAGTATGATGATGATGCATTCTATCCTGATGTTGAGGAGTCTGTCTCTGGCTACAAGATCGTGGATTTACAGTGTCTCCAGGAACTGATGGATCAATTTACTGTCTGTAGGAAGTGCACGAAGGGAGACATGATCGTCAGTAACTGTCATGACACTGGACTTGGATCGACCCTGCGACTTCAATGCGCTTTGTGTGGACACAGTGGAAGTACGTCTCTGAGCAAGAAAATTTGCAGGAGCTATGATCTGAATTGACGATCTGTACTGGCGATGCGATGCATTGGACGTGGCCATGGTGGACTCCGAAAGTTTTGCGGCGTAATGAATTTTCCTGCTCCTGTAACGGAGAAAGCGTACCGCAGCCACCAGGAAGTTGTCCTTGCTGCAGCCGTAAAGCTAGCTGAAACTGACATGGTTCAATCCGCAGCTGAGTTGCGTGCCATGACAGATTCCACCCACGTCGCAGTGACGTTCGACGGCACTTGGATGCGCAGGGGATATTCGTCGCTGTATGGTGTGTTCGCGTGCATCTCCTTCCAGAGCGGCCGTGTACTGGACATCACAGTGAAGGGTCGATACTGTCACGAATGTAAGATCTGGACTGAGAAGAAGCGAAGTGGTGCAATCACGGAGGAAGCCTTTTCAACCTGGCTGGATAATCACAAGTGCAGCATAAACACAGCGGCATCTGCACCCGGTATGGAGAGTGAAGCTGCGTGCGATATTTGGCAGCGGTCTGTGGGCACACGCGGAGGCCTCATAAGAACCCTCTCCCAAAGGCTGTGTTCGAAGTCGTGAAGCCCATCTACATGCAGCTGTCCGAACGAAGTCTGCTGGAGCGCTGCCAGATGGGTGCAACGCAGAATGCGAACGAGTCGTTCAACAACGTCATTTGGAGAATGCGTCCGAAGGAAGGCTTCTGCTCCGTCGACACCGTTCAGCTGGCAAGTAGTTTGGCAGTGCTCAACTTCAACAACGGCGCTATCACCTTGCTCAGTGTGCTGAAAGAGTGTGGATGCATTGATGGCAATCACACGAAGGCAGCGCTTGAGCTAGAAGACCAATGGCGTGTGAAGAAGTCCCTCCGCAAGTCATCAGCACTGGAAAAGGAGAGCAGGAAAAGGAGAAGGAGGCAGAGGAAAGGCTGGGAGGAGACCACTATTGAGAAAGAGGGCACTACATATGACAAAGGTGGTTTCTGAATGGCAACTTCAGGTCAGATATGTGAAAATATTTCAGTAGCACTCCACTATCAGTCCTTTTTATGTAATTTTTAGGTGCATTTTTCACTGATTTTAGGGGTATTATGGGCACTCCGCGCAGTTTTTTAGAAATGCTGTACATATCTTGTATGTAAAAGTATATATTTTCTGGTTCTGTACGGTCCATTCTAGATCCGTTGCCTTCTTAGGACACAAGATCTTCTGTTAGAAACAAAATAATGGACCTTGAACTTCAGTCAAGTTATCTTGCGCACGTGCATTGTTATTTCAAGGCTGCAGTGGCACACCATGGGAACTGTAATCGCATTGTGCTTAGGCAACAGCCCTAGCCCCTTGGTACCTGATCATTTTGCAGTGTTATGTGTTTATCTTCAAGTGACCGTGTTTGAGAAAAACTGCGCAGAAATCATGCCCGGCTATCGCATTTTTTCCAAAATTGCTTTCCTGCATTTCTCCATGATACCAGTATACTTTCCACAGTTCTTGGTTGCAATGTCGTCAGTGGATGTCAAGGAACATAATTATACTGAAAATTTGAAGGAATTCTGATGTTTGAGTGCTGAGATTCAAGCGAATTTATAACGGGCACTGCAATATGGCCAGCGAACCTCCCGTCCCCCCTTAACCGATCATCAGACAGCAACTTGACTACAATTTTCAGAAGATAATAATTATTATGATTGAGATAGGCTGCAAGCTTGGATCATGCCGCGAATGAATGATAGTGTGATATGAAAATGATTTGGGTGATGGGGTGCAAAAATAGGCGCAAAAAATACACTTTAGGCCTAGGCTCATGCAACCATATGTTCTTATGAGGGAGGCGAGGAGAAGAACAGTGGGGTAAGTATGAGCAGCACCTCACCTGCGAGTAGTGAAAAGGTTATGTGATGGCTGATAGTGAGAATTTTGAGAGGTAGTACTTATTTTCATGTCTGCACTTGCTGACTACAATAGCTCCGATCTTTTGAGTTTTGTTGATACTGACGAGCTTGTCCGCCTGAAGGATCTCTAGCTTCCCTCTTACTAGTCTTAGTCACAGAGGACAGCGCTTGGTTATGTTACTGGGACCTGGGGTCTGGGCAATAACTGACCAACCAAGATTGTACTCGCTATTTTGACGCTTCAGGTTCCAGACACACTTTGATAGTTCCGTGCTCTTCTCATGTCTGAATGATGGTGGTGGTGTGGTGGGGGGTGCCGTGTCTCTTGTTGAATTCTGGCTCCGATATACTCCTTCTGTCTGTCCTCTCCGGTTACTTGACATGCATTCATGTACACGGGCTGGTGTAGTCTTGTGTCATCTCGGCGACAGGAGTCACAAGGCCCAAGGGATTTGCTCAGGCTACAGTACAGGTGCCACATATACCCGTCACGTCCTTGTTAGTCCCAGTATTCAAATGATGGCGCTGAAGTACGAATTGACTATGAACGTCAACCATTTTTAAACATAATACGACTCTTTCATTCACATAGTCATTCACCCCAGTAATCCGGTCCTCTGGGATTGTGGCGCCGAGAAGAATCGACCCACTCACAGGCACACCGGTCAGTGTGTAAGGTGTGCTTTATTGAATGCTTCACAAAGGTCCCTTGTGAATTTGTCTTTTCAAAGCATTTCCCTTTCCTACGCTTGCTATCCTCTTGACGAACTGCTGCCGAATAGGACAATGGATGATGAAGGCAGACATCATTGCGCTGACCATTCCGGCATGCACCACTTTCCCACCGGCCGGTGTAGTCTAGTGTAGTACTGGTACATTCTTTGCAGGAAAAAGTCCACTGTGTAATGTGTAATCTCTTGGGCATAACAGAAAACTTACAAGAGGTTCTAATTCTTGTCTCCGAGGAAATTGTTCGCATAGTAGACTCCTGATGATTGCGAACTTGAACATGAAGCTCGATCGGGCAGACAGATTTTCTTCCAATGCCTACAATGTCAATCAGTCAGGAAGAGTACGTCAGAACGTATTGTTAGCCATTCTTTTGCGAGTGCAGCTTGGCAACACATTGTGGTCTGCTAAATGTTGTCATTGCATGTCGTTATCGCTGGTCGTGCATGCAAGCTTGCCCAGCCAATGGCATTGTATGTTGACAAACCATTGTATTATTACTGATCTTTGCCCGGCCCCGCATAGAAATCATCGTGCACAATCTCTCTGATTACATGATTGTGTGCAACAAAATTCAATACTTCAGTCTTCAATATTTGAAACAAGTAAAAATGTACCCCAAGGACATTGGCGTCAAGGTCGTGTCTCCTGCGAGTCGAGTGACGTTAGGTGGCAAATTGGAGACTTGCAACAAGCCGGGAGAATAGCACGTACGTATGCCAATGAATACGGAATCGTGCGAAAAGCAGTATGAGGTGGATCAGCGGTTTTTTCGACCACCACTGTGACCAGTGACTTTTGTATCTGCTCACTATCCTGCATGACCATGTTTTTCATGAGCTAGTAGCTGCGCGCATGTCGTGCTTGTATTGATGCAGAGCGTTCAGAACTTCGGTGACAAGATGACAATGCCACAATCTGGAGCCTGTCATGGTGACCATTTCGTTGAACTAACTTCAACGGCTGAATAGCTCCATGACCATGATGACCTTATTGGCAAGAAAAGAGACGAACGCCATGAAAATGAATCAGGAACAATACTGCCGCCCCCATCCCCATGATTTGTATGGACTGCACTGCGACTGCGAGGTCAACATCTGAGCCTCGGACTGGCTGACACGATAGCCCGGTATGTTCAGATGTTACTCAACTACTATGATTACTGACCTATGACTTTGTATGAGTATGACATGCCATGTCTTCTGGCCGCCTAGCAAAGTACTACTAAGTAGTTAGTTGCACCTACCAACCATCTGCCTGTCATCTCGCCCCTTCTCTGGACTCCAGGATTGCGTCAAGACCGTCCGTTGCTAGCTGTCCTATGCGGCAGAGAGAGAATGCCCATCACCCGACCCCATGTGGGAACAATCGCATTGCTTTTGTTTATGCATAGATTGAATATCACGCGTCAAATCCTGACTGTGTTGACTCTGTTCTCATGGTTATCTTGGTTATGCGGACTACTGGCGACTACTGCTTGGCGCACGCGACTGTCACTAAAGTGTCAGTGTCAACAGGCTTTGCGGCTTGGATGCGCCCGAGATACATAGCTAGCTGTCGATCGGCAATGAATGAGCAGCAAGCATTATTAGCGCTTCAATAATTTGGTCAGCGCCGTATTTATCGACTAGAAGGCTCTGCAGTACCAAGCTGAACGTTTCGTTGTCAGTGGTGTATGTACTCAAGGTGAATAGTAACTCTCCTGTATAGCCCATTTGCAAGGATTACAGCCGGATGAAAATTTTCTTTCTCAATTTGCCTGGTGACAAACTGGCGACGCTTCCATTTTACCGAACAAAAGCATTTGAAGACCTCGAAAGGTGCCAGTCAACAGCACGCATCCCGATGAAGATAAACAACAGCAATTTACTATAACTTACAACGCCAACCTACCAGTGGATGAAGTACCAGCCAACGAAGCAACGACTGAGTCAAATTTTCACCTCGGCTGAAATCCCGGACCTAGTGTGAGGTAAGGTATCTTCACGTGTGTGAAGATCAAGTAAAGCGACTCAAGTAGGTGAAGCCAAGAGGGAATGTTTCGGCTGCTTGTGAAGGATACAGATTTTTTTAAAGCGGGGAGAACTCTAGTCAGCATTGCCCCCCCCCCCCCCCCTACAAATGCACAGTGTAGTGAGATCTGTGTCAGACCTGAACTTTGCTGAAGCGCTATGTCGGACGATAAAAACTCAACACTCGTCCCAAGTGACCACGTGTGCCGAAGGCTGAGCATCAGTAACTTTACTACTGAAAAAGCATACTAATTCCCATATCCTAGTACTGGATGCACCTTGCTGCAAGACTGGTTACAGCCAGTACAGGAAACATGGCTTGGTCAGAAGACTCAGAACGCAGCCTTAGGCTTTCAAGCCTACTGCATTGCAGTGCGCCATGAATAACATGACCAAGGACGTAGCTCGCACATCTGTGGTGCGGTGACCAAGTAGTAGTGAGTACCACCGGCAACCTCATTTTGCCTATTTTGCCTACTGTATAGCAGGAAATTTTCGGACGGAAATATTTTCGGACAAAGCCGAATTTTGACCTTTGGTACGGATTATATTTTCGCACAGTACTAGCTATGCTGCATGCATGCTAAATACACGTGTTCGCAAGCAGTATGCATGCTATAGTGTGCATAATTTCACATGAACAAATTTTAGTACGGAATTAATTTTAGTACAAAAGAAGCCGTGTACGAAATTGTCCGAAAATAAATTCCGTCCGAAAATTTCCTGCTATACAGTATGTAGTACAGGTGGAATCAGGCATTTTCTGGTCAGGTAGTGACCACCGCACTACATGTACGTCGACTATACACGAGCTAGCTACGCGCCTGGTGACTGAGTTACAGTCCCTGGCCCTGTGGCCACTTGACATTTTCCTATCATGTACACACAGTATCCTAGAACTAGCCGAACAAGATGATAATATTATGCAAAATTCACCGTGCATGCCCATGAGTACAGCAGCTCCCCAAAAAATGATAACCCAACCGGTATGAGTGCACAGCTTCGAAGCTCTCCCATTTTCATTGCATATTGGGCGTTCAGCCCCAAACCAAGAATTGACTGCCAATTTGTTTCTTTTTGTCTAGGGCACGCCGTGGAGGTGGTCGGCTCGGCTTGACGCGGCCAAAGAATTGCTTTGTTGCCATGGCAACTCATCAGCGTCTCTATGCCCTTCGCATAATCCTCCTTGCTGCTGTATTGTGGGAGGTTAATGGACAGTTTGGTAATATTGGGGACCTTGTTGATATCGGAGACAGGTTTCCAATCCTTCCAATAAATATCCGCCTACCAGTCATCACGCTCCCACCGAGAGATCCAAATGAAGTGCCAAGCGGGTGAGCCATTTTTATTGATATTTACATGTATGCTAGTACTACATGCCTGAGGAGTTTGATTACACAGCGTGACATGCGCATTTCAACATTTTTTTCGGATATTGTCCAAAATGATTCATTTCACGTGTAAAAGAGGAAAAAACACATGGGAACGAGTTATGAAGCAACTATCCACGACTGTAACAAGATAATAAGCAGTCAAAAAAGTGCGATAACCGGGCGCGAAACTGACATGTTACTGAGACATTCAACGGCCGTCGTGGATGTTGCTTCATAACTCGGTCCCATGTGTTTTTCTTCTGTTTTACATCTATTGCTGGCTCAGTATCCGCATTTCATGTACTCAACCCTGCTGGTCGCGCACTGAGTTCATGGCTTTAGCATAGGAGCTGCATGGAAAATTAGCTGTCAAATTGAAGAAATATTCCGCACAGAAGTATGACTTTGAAACTCATGGTGATTGAATACGTCCAACTCACGTTTGGCTCACAACAAAGATATATCTTCCTCGATGGAATCACAACTGCATACCTGCACGCACACGCACGTGCACCCTTGTACTTTTGAAGTACTTGTATGTGTACTTGCTCACTGCCAAAACTGGTCACGTGGGTCTCCCCGGGAGAGAGGAGAGATTCAAAAGGAATCTTGGAAGGATGACTCAATTGGCCATTGAACCGCCCAACGGCCGACACCCCCTGAAATCCCCAAACTATGGGTGGACTTGGAAATGATCCCACTTATGGGCTCACCACGCCTCAGTAAATGGGTGAGGACAGGGTGCAGAAAAAGGATTGACGGCATCAGGGTATACGTCCCGGGATCCAACTGCAGTTACTCCTGCCCCAGTGAAGGTAATACTTGCTAATAGTGCGGGTGGCTAAATCAGAGTGGATCTGATATAAGCTTCACTAGCACCATTGATTACACAAGAGTTAATCTAGCCAGAAACAGCCCATGGTTAACAGGTATGTAGACTTCAAATAGAAAATATGTGAGCCCTGAAACGCATGCACCCCCGAGCGCACGCGCTCACGCACACACACACACACGCACACACAAACACACACACACCCATGCACCCCCCCCCCCCCACGCAAACACAACTGACCCAACCCAGCATAGCCATAGTGCAGAAGTATGAGTACCGGTACTACACCGCTGATCAGCAAAAAAATGCAATCAAATCATACGTTTTGTGAAAATTCGGCAATGATTTCCTGGGAAATTTCTAAATCATCGGAAATGGCCTAAAACAGGACCGGATCTCTAACTCTTAAACGGCAGCGCCAATTGTTCCGAAACCTCTCCAGAACAATTTTCCGTGCCCAAACAAGCCCTTCAACCTATTTTGATTTTCGATTTTCCTGTAACTTCATGCAATTTTCTTGACAAGCCTGTTTGCTTATTATTTTGAAATGGCCGGTACGCGTATACGGTTGGTCCCACTTTGCCTGGATAAAGGGAGTCCTACTGCACTATTACTCCGATTACAGCCTCCTTTTAAAGTGATACAGGCAAAATAAACTCAAAGTTCTAAAAAAACACAAAAAAGGCCAATTCTCGCTCCACATATACTGGCACACACAGAGACATAGACAGCAATAGAAACAACACACACAGTGAAGGGTAGTTGGCCGCAGCCAGATGTGAACCGGATAACGTGTGAGGCATGGAAGCAAGGACTGGGGACCGAGAATCTCAGGTGCAATAGGTGTGCAAGCGGATAGCAGAAATAAGCCCGGATGATGCAGAACCACTTAGGACCGTCAGATTAATTTTCCTGGACCGAGCCAGCCGGGGGAAAAAACCCTCGAGCCAATGGACGCAGTAGAGAGGGAAAAAACGGGTGTATATCCCCAAAGGTGATTTGGCATCATGTAGGCATGGCAAGCACATCACGGCAAAAACATATTTACAAAAAAGCAATAATAAGATGCACAGAAATGAAGGGTGGGAGGGCAGGGACACTGGTGAGACTCAAAACTGACTGAAGAAGTCAGGAAAAGAAACGACGATAAAGAACACGCAAAGCGGTCGCGGGTGGGTGGTCGTCGGTCGCGTTGAGCAAGTGGTCGCCTTATCCAATCTGTTTTGAATGTGAATGCGTCCGTGACAAGGAAAAGTGGTCGCCATGGTCGAGTGGTCGCCATATCCGAGTGGTCGCCATTACAGGTTTTACTGTACATGAAATGATAACATTAATGCAGGGATTGTTAAACAGATGGAGTGATATGCAGTACAAGCCTACGTCTGACAATATCAATAATTATTATCACTGTCTTCTCTGTTCATATCCTGCACGTGGGCCCTGATGTTTGGTCTATGGTGTTTCGTAGACCAAACACAGAAGTATTTGCGTACAGGAGCCAGCGGCACACCAACAAGATTAAAGTCAACAGGCAGCAGAGCTACAACACGGGTTGTGGATTCCTCAATCTCGGTCGCTGCAGAAGATACAGGTATTGTGTGGACTGCTAAGTGTTTTCAATGTGCTGTATGCATATCAAGCACTCTGTTCCAATCTTTCAGTAAATCGCTGGCTACGTTCAATTGCAATTCTTCTGATCATACAGCGAGCACAGCCCGGATTATCTAGAAGGCCAGATACATAGTAGTATCATGGAGTATATGCCACAATGACATCATAACTTGGATACAAATGACATCTAAATAACCGACGAGGAGACAACAGTCGTAAAATAGCAATGAAAAATATCAATTGTGCACTCATAACCATGTATAAACAATTAAAATGAAACAATTCCAGAACGTTTTCGTGTGACCATCAACCCGTTATATAGCTAGAGTAATATGAAAAGAAGCGTGAGAATGCAGCACAGCTAGCGGTTATGCATAACGCGTGTAGTGTGAACCTTTGCAGTGTATCTGAGAATGGGTGTGCGTGTGGACAAAAACTGGTGAGTGCGTATTGTTGCGCACGTTTCTTTAAGCAGTTGCAGGTGTTGGAAGCTGTATGTATCTATTATTGCACGATTAAAGAGGTCAATATATGAAATATAGAACGAGTAAAAGACCGAGGTCTATATTTCATATATTGACCGATTATGAGGGCAATAATAGATTTATCACGAAATAGCATACCTAAAACTGGTTTTGCTTTGCTATAGGAAGAAAGGAATACTATTGTAATAGTATAATAGTATGTATATATGCCGTTTACATTGGACATTACTTCTGTGTAAACCGAAGTTTTCAGTTGTCTCTTGTAGTATGTTCCCCAAGTTCTTTGACTGAGAATCTGACAGTTTGGGTTCAAAGCCCAGCATTTGGCTTCAGATTTTTCTTCTTTCAGTTCTGATTTTTTTCTAAGTTGAGGAAAAAGTTCTAAGTCCTCGGGCTAAGTCACAAGTAAGTGGTCAATAATAAGCGTTATCCCATGGTACGGTACTATAGGCCTGTTTCAGCCAATCAGGAGCCTTGCTGACCGGGAAATAATAGCCAATACAATCCCGCGCGGGATGATATTCATTATTAACTGGGTTCACTTTTACCGTACCTACGGTGCACCCTGCATTGGCATGCCCCCACCCCCTCTCGATTCGATGCAATGTATCTTGCCACTGGAGTCCTTTCAATCAGAAACCCAGGGACAAAATGCACTACACAGAACCGTGAGAGGGTGGGAGCATGCCAATGCAGAGTGCACCGTCGGTACAGTAAAAGTGAACGGAGAGAACTTACCTCCGCGACAACGTCCAAAACCAGATTCCACACAAACAAACAACGAACTCCAATCACTATTCAACTCAACACTACGACACAAAGGAGACTTCGAAGTGCATCTGTTCTCATTCACTCTTTGTAAACTCGAAAACTACACAAAGTATCACCATCCGAGTGAAAATTTCTAATTGCAAGGAGAGATACCGTAACAACACGAAAAGTACAAGACGTGAAAGTGAGCCGAATATTCCACAGTGTGAAAGAAGAAGAGCTCAGCAATCCATGTGTGATGTAGATAAGATATGGATGCAAGATGCGACCTGCAATGATTATCATGACACTGTATCCAGTACGATTACCACAAGAACAATCTAAAACGTAGATGCTGCTACAAATCCAGTATGCCTATAATATAACCATGATAACAAGATCAACGTTCTTCCGATTGCATAGTGGCCGATAGTGATACAACGAAGAGTCTTGATACAACGAAATGCACTTTACTCACTGGTGCCAATGTCCGACGATATGTACACTGTGGTTACTGCCTGCACGGACAGTGTTCAGCAAGGATCCCAAACCGTTGAAAGTTCCACGCCGATCCAATGACAAGGAAGTTAGCACCAGCCTCCATAATGACGTGGTATCTCGCCGTGACTTGAAGTATGGCCCTTACTTTGAACCAAATGACTATGTATCATAACAGTGCAATCTCCGTCAATTCTCTAGTCCAACTACTAAAATGCAACTTGTCTCCCGAGCTCCATCGCTCTCAAACCTTGACTGGATTGAAAAGAAAGGCAGCATCTTGTTTTTGGTATAGCTGTACCTTGGTAATTGTATTGAGAACGCAGTTGCGTCGATCCCCAAAATGCGTAGATGTACCTGGGATAAGTAGGATATTGACCCGCGTACTCGGGTGTTACCGTACCCTCATATCATCCCTCCTGCTACGCAGTCGGGATGATATTCGGGAGGTAACACCCTCGTACTTGGGTAATATCCTATACGTCAATATAAGGGAGCATCTCATAAGTTCGCACTTTTTTTGTGAACGTAACGCATTTCGAATAGACTTTACCCCCCTACCTCCCCCCACTATTTGAAAGTCTTATCGCACATTTTCAGTGTAGATCTACTGTACTGTACATATCCATGCCATGGTATACACAATCATGTACAATGTTCATGTACATGGACATGAACATGAATGTTTTGCTAGTGTCGAAGTACATACAGTAGTACGGCATCTACTGAGTACAAGTAAGTTACATGCTTAGTTCAATCAATGACATGTACACACACATAAACAGAGTTCCTCCACAACGACTGTACTGTCAAAGCTGGCCAGGTACACTGTTTGATCAGGCTGGTGTGACATTTGACACCTCTGAGTAGCCTGCATGCGTGTATTGTAGTGCAAGGGTTAGATCTACACCTAAAACACACCCGGTAGATCTACCCTGCTGTCTGAAGCGGTCTAGCACATGCACAGCACTGTATTGTACACATCCAGAAAATGTGCGAACTGTCCATTTTCTATCCGAAATGGGCGCTACCCCCCTACCCCCGTTTCGAAATGCGTTACGTTTAGAAACAAAATGCGAACTTATGAGATGCTCCCTAAGCGGTCAATATATGCTGATATTTGACCGCTTAGAGATCACAAGTTTCTGTGGGGGTCAATAATAAGAGAGTGATAAATATTCGCACACGTGACCCTGTTCTATGCAAGCAAAAAGAAAATGTTGTAGCACTCACACTTTTTAAATAATACGCACTCACCAGTTTTTGTCCACACGCACTCACAGCTGCCACATTCATCTACTGCTACCATTCTCAGATACACTGCAAAGGTTCACACTACACGCGTTATGCATAACCGCTAGCTGTGCTGCATTCTCACGCTTCTTTTCATATTACTCTAGCTATATAACGGGTTGTTTTAGTGATTCTTACTATGTGACGATGTTCCACTGATGATGGTCACACGAAAACGTTCTGGAATTGTTTCATTTTAATTGTTTATACATGGTTATGAGTGCACAATTGATATTTTTCATTGCTATTTTACAAATGACATCATGGATAGATACTGATATCCAAAGCATGATGAATTCTTAGTCTCACAATCACCCCATTCCCTGAGTTACCAGTGTGAGTAAATTCATTGTACACTGTGTGTATTATCTAAGGGTCTCTGGGCTACACCAATCACTTGAAAGAAAAAAATATATGATCATCCAAATTTTCGGCCAAAGCCCATTTTCAGGAATGCAGTCACTGCAGACAAAACAGAGATTATAATGTGACAAATGTGATTCAGATTTTTCTTTCAGAGATTGGTGTAGCCGGGAGACCATTCGGAGCGTTGTGAAGATGTACTCGTATGGATAGAATGGATGGGCACACGGTGGAGTCTTTGCACACTGAGACATGTATCTATGGGATCTTATAATCATAGTGTTTTGCACACTGAGACATGTATCTATGGGGATCTTATAATCATAGTGTTCATCAGTTAACCAATCTCAGTGTGTGGTGATTTCTTTACACTATTATCACAGAACGGTGTCTTCATATCAGGTTAGTACTACGTACAGCCGAGTTGCGCGTTTCAGGTGCAGAAGTTTTGCCAGAAAGGATGGAAATGTCTGCAGAGGTAAGCCGGAGCATGTGGACGTATTGTGAAATGCTTCATCTTGGCAACATCTTCGGAGGAGCTATTGGCACATTGTGTAACCAGTGTCCCTGCTAGACACTCTTGATCTGTTTACAGCTTGGCAATTGTCAATTACGGTCTCTGCAAATCGCTCAAAAAGACTTGCACATCAAATGTCCAGTGAAGTCCATGAACTTTTTAGTGTAAAGTTCCAGAAAGTACAATTTTTCAATGGCCTTCATGCACATATAATTGATAAGTTGATACCAACTTGCGAATCGAGAATTGTGTGAAGCTGAGTGCTAGATGCCTGTAGCATAGTGGAGGCAGTGTGTGCAATTGGTAAGGCGCTAGGTGCTTCTCAATTCGCAAGTTGGCCCAAAGATTCCATGTCAGGGATCCCGCTAAGCCGTGCAATTGTTTCCGCCTGTATCTACCTCTTAAATTCCCATTATACTGTGACCAGTCTGCATTGAATATTGTTCGCCTGGTGATTGCACACAGGGAATGAAACTCAGAGTAGCAAAACACTACGAGTGATCCATTGTTTGTTGACATGTGTACAAGTACTTCATATGTATAGCGGGATCCAGAGCGGGATCCAGAGCGGGATCCACGTTTTGCATGTTTCTATAGCAGTGTAGGGAGATCTATTATAAAATCAGCGCACCATATTTGCAATCTTGTATCCAGCCAGGATCCGTCCACTAGTGTACACTAGGCAAGTGCTTCTACAGATAGTTATACGAGTATGCCTAATATGGGATAACCTGCCATAACCTGTTGTGACAATGAGTCTACTATGGGATAACCTGCCATATTATGACAATGAGTCGGGTGATGATCATTATGTACATGTGTGTGCTGTGACTGCGGCTCTCAGTGCCCTTTGTCATGTGCACTCTTTGTGGTGTGTGCTCCGTCAGTCGACTGCAGTGTTGCAAACTGGGGACGCTGGGGTGGCTGCACGCAGTCCTGCTATGAAGGTACAAGGAGAAGAACTAGAGGTATCTCACGCAGTGCTAGTAACGGTGGCAGGGGCTGCCCAACCACATCACAAACGACACACTGTAACCGAGGACGAAGGCAGTGCAACATTGAAAGGAGGTGCTGGAATAACGCCTATGTTCGCACCACATCGACTATCTGCCAGGTAAGGTCTTGTTTAGGCCAGTGTGTGCTGTACTCCCTACCCTAGCAAGGGTACATGTATACGCCCATAGAGCACTGCTTGAGGCCAAGACACTAGACATTTGTTCTCGCAAACACACACACACACGTAATACTGTACCACACACGTAGCTGTACTGATGAGGCCAATATGGCCGAAACAGCTTGCTGCCTACAGCTTTGAGCACTGTACCACACACTGTATGCTGCTATTGATTGGACACAACCATGGCAACTGTCACGTGACATAGCCGTAAACTCTGTTCCTCTGTACTATGTGCTGTATGATATCTGCAGCAATGCTTGTTTACATCGAGCAAAACCGCCTGGCAAGCACACTCTGGGTCAAGATGCAATGACAACAATGCATGCACTAAGGATGATGCATGCCGCTCTGGCCGATGCACTGGCACGCGGTACTCATGCCCGTTTAGCTGCACGTCCTGTAATGGTGTTGGTGGGTGCAACCCAAACAGAGGTTTTTGTCTAATCGATACGTCCACCGGGAAGCGATGCTATAGTGAAGGTGCAACGAATCCCGACTCTCCACAATGCCAGGTAAGCAGTATAAGCATGGCATGCTGGTACCGGTTACATGCACACATTCATGTAAATGTCACGCTGCAGGACAGCTATTACTAGTATAATTTACTACTCTAGAGTTTTCAACAAAGCTGCTGCTTACTTTCTTATTACTGTAAAAGCCATTATTCTAACGAGGCGCATATAACGATTTCCCGAAATTGACTGGTTTACGTGTACCAAAGGAAACGATTCTCACTTCTTCTCAATGCTCAACGCTCAATAGGACCGTATATGTGTCGATTTCAGTATAACGATTTCTATTTTAACGACAGATTTCTCCTCGTTAACTCGTTAGAGTTAGCACTTCGTGATATATATGGCTTTTACAGTACTCTGGAGTTACTAAATGTAGTACCGGTATGCCCCGCGAAGCGAATATCCAGCGGACTTTAATGCTTATCTTTGGATGGGCCAGTTTACATATAAAATTATATGATTATACATGTATCACAGGACCAAATGATCATGCATGCGCAGCTGAGTGCCTGGTGCTTTAAATGATCATGCATGCGCAGCTGAGTGCCTGGTACTTCCTCCGTTAACAAAAACTTCGTGATTGATTTTTGAGGGACTGGTTTGCTCACAAACTGGCGTGAAAGGAGTCGTGATCACTTTCGCGGCCTTGCCACGACAGAGATGCGATGCAAGGAAAGCGACCTTTCACAAGAAACCGAACGGAATCAATGGTTGCACTGTGGCAACATGGGTGATGGCAGCCATGGCGAACGAAACTGAAATACCACTTTTCGGAGGGCATAATGCGCTGCTTGGCCTCTCTAACACTGGGTTTGAGAGTGATAAAGAGCAATGGAACGGAGTAGCGATCTCACACAATGAGCGAGTGAACAAGCAGCAGCTCCGATCGCACGGTGCTATGAAATGATTCTGAATTCAAGTTCTTGTTCAACCTGCGTAAAGCCCAGATTCAAATGCTGACCATGCATTCTTTAGAAGTCTGCAGTCCGACGTGAGTCTCGTGGCTAAGGAAAATCGACGGGACTTGCTAGCCGCTGCCGTTCAGTGCTGGCAGGAGCATCCATCAGAGAAATGGAATCAGTTTGGCTGTGCCTTTACTTCTCGTTTTGCGGAGTTCTGGAGAGTGGAGATGAAACCAGCAAGTCATGAAATATGTTTACGACTCCCTGGTGGAAACGAGTAATTGCCACCGTGGCGGATCACGCATCTTGAAAGCCAACTTGAACGACGGCGACATCACGAACGTTCAGCGGAGTATGATCAAAGAAGCCGAGCCAAGGCTGAAACGAGCTGAACAACGACTCAAGAGCGATGATGATTCGCGTGCAGCAGATGACGACAGCGACGCAGGGTCAAAAATGTGTCGAGCGACGCAAACTGAACTCTCTGCTCATTCCGCCAACAGTTTCTCTCGGAAAGGCGCTGTACATAGGCTGAACTACAATCGCCCAGTGATTTACAGTGGATACAAACTGTTCTTGCCCTGTTCTAAGCGTTCTCATATCCATCAAAACCCATCACGAAGTTTTTGTTAACGGAGGAAGTATACATTCCAGGCTTTCCATAATATAAACAGCGGGTTATAAATCACTCAATTATGGTTTATGAATTATGGTCTGGGACCATAATTCATGTACATGCATGTGGATTTTCATGTCGAAACCCAAACTGAAAAAGAAAATCAGGCTTTGATTCCATGCCAGAATTCTTCCAAAATCGAGCGCTCTCAGAGCCACAGGGCTATTAGAGTAAATCATAGTCTTCCAGCTACGGGATTATGTTATGGACGTCAAGCTGTGCTATGGCCCTATGGGCACAATAACTGATCTGAATTGCAATGAACAGTGCTGATGCTTTACAGGTTAGTCACACAACACAAAAATCAGTCTTTCCTTGGTTTGCAAGTAATCAGCACTAGAGTTGCCAATGTGTTCTTCGTGTGTACTTGACGTGTTGTTGAGCTTGTTGCAGATCAATGGCAATGTATAGTATTTATGCTTCTTTCTTTCTATCATGCACTGACCACATGCAGTTGTGCACCCATGGCTCAAACCCTATCCAATGGAGTAACAGGCCGGTGGGTACGCGATGCAGCAACCCGGATGTGTGTATCCGCAACAGCAAATGTAACAGTAATGGCCAGTGCGTGGGTGAAGACTACCGGCATGAGTGCCAGACGGAGTGTCAACGCTGCAGCTCCTCCGGCAAGTGTCAGCAGACAAAGGGCTGCATTGCCAGCAACAGGAGATGTGGATGCAGCATTGGTGGAAGGTGCTATGCAGAGCGACAAACCAACCCCTCCACACAGTGCCAGTATTGTAAGCTGCAAGAAAATCCAAGTGCCTGGACGAACAAAGAGAACGGATTCAATTGCAATGACAATAACATATGCACCCACACAGATCGATGTGTTGGAGGTAGATGCTCGGGTACAGCATATCAATGTAGTGTCAGGAAAGAGGACGTGTGCATGAGAAGCAACAACTGCGATGGCAAAGGAGGCTGTGATCCATCTTTCTTTGGATCAGAGAAGAGATGCTATGAGAGGCAAGATGCATGTGACCATCCCACCACATACTGCACAGGTAGACATGCTGTTTGCAGTGTTACCACTATCAAGCAATTGCCTGGTGGAGTACCTCCAATTAGTCTTGGTACCGTGACACTGACTGATCATCAGCAGACTGTATTACCGAAATCAACAACAAAAGGAGGAGAGGAAATTGCACTAACAAAAGATACTGGGCGTGTAACTATCAAGCTGGAAGGTTTTACTGTGCCATGTGGAAATGTGCAGTATACTACTGAAGTCCGTGCCTATCCGAATACTGGATCAAGTCAGTTGGGATCAGTTCGGACAACTGGAAATAGTGGAGACGCATTGACAGTAAGCATACCAGTGGCAATGCAGCATGGTTCAATGTACAGAGTACACGTCATGGCTGCAAACATCCGCTCCAATACCGTCAGCATGACATCTCTACCTCTTCTCGTAGACACAAGTGCTCCTACCCTCACAGATGGTCTCCAGGATGGTCCTCTGTCAGTGTCAGTCCCATTCAACAAGGATATTGACTACCAATCCAGCTTATCTGCCCTCACAGTTAATTGGAAAACTGATAACCTGCAGGATGCAGAGAGCGGTATTTCCAGGTCATCAATCAAAATGTCATATGGAACATCGCCCACATCGGCTCAACATCCATTTGTGGACTGTCCAAGGAGTCAACGAGATAGTGGATACTGTATGTTAGAGGGCCTGCAGCTGCAAAGAGGAGTCCGTTACTATGCCTTTCTCTCTGTCGACAATGTTCTGGGTACAAGTGGCATATTTTCAACTGATGGTGTCACCTTGGATGATACACCCCCAACAGGTGGCATGTTAAACTTGATGGGGCTACTTCCGGCACAAGCTGATAACTATGAATACATCTCTTCAGCTGACGGCAAGAGGCTGACTGCAACTCTGTCTGGGGTTTCCGATCCAGAGAGTGGTCTGATTAAGTTCAGTCAAGTTGTGTGCGACCAGGGAACAAATCTATGCACAGAACAAGGTTATACCACCTTTTCTTGTACCAGCCAACCATGTACAGTGCAAGTAGATCACCCCAATGATCGTCTCGTATCACAGGGCAGCTTTCTCAACAACCATGTATATTCTCTTGTAGCAAGAGTTGAGAACAATGCTGGTCTTACATCAGACATCCAGTCTGAGCGAGTCTTAGTAGATCGTGTACCCCCTACAGGTGGAGCTGTGTTTGATGGCTCAACTACTGGAGTTGATATCATGTATCAAAGCAACACTGATCAACTCTCTGCTAACTGGAATGGATTTGTAGATTCGGAGTCAGGCATCAAGAACTATGTTGTATCAGTTGTTGATGAATCGGACACAACCCTGGCTACAAAAACAACCACAGGTCTGTCACTCACAATACAGACCCGCTTAACTCACGGCGTCACATACAGGATGTGTGTTGATGCCACCGACAATGGTGACAATAGCAACAGAGTGTGTTCAAATGGTTTACTAATTGATAGCATGCTCCCAGTAGGTGGTACAGTGCTGGACATCGACCCATCAGGATCAAGCCTGGCTGAAATTGACTTCCAAATATCTACAAAATCCATGAAGACCAAGTGGATGGGCTTTCAAGCATTGAGTGGAATCCAATCTTACTCTTGGTCAATTGGTACGACTGCAGGCAGTTCCGATGTGCTGTCCAAGCGTGCTGTTGGCTTGCAGACAATGCAATCTACAGGAAATCGTAACTTACAATCAGGACGGACGTACTTCGCAAATGTATGGTGTACCAGTCGATCAGGCCTGACAAGTTTGGTCAGTTCAGATGGTGTGCTAGTGGATACATCGCCACCAGATGGGGGCATGGTAATTGATCTCTGCACCGATACAGAGCCATGCGAGTCTTCGAATGATATTGACTATACCTCTGTGAATGACAAGCTTAGAGCCCGTTGGTTTGGTTTCACGGATGAACAAAGTGGAGTCAAACACTACAGCTGGAATTATGCGGACTGCTCAAGCAAAGTGCCACTTTTCGACACCGACAAGCCAGCATCACTCAACACAGAATTTAACAGCTTCCCCAAAGGCGCACTTGATACTAATGTTCGCTATTGCATCGTCGTACGGGCCATGAACAATGCCGGCCTGATCTCGTCTATATGGTCTGATGGGTTTCTTGTCGACATCACAGCACCGCGGGTGTTTACAGTGACCGATGGCGCCGTAGTAGGTAGTGATACAGATCATCAGAAAGACGTCACAGCGATGCATGCTGTGTGGGATTCACCTGTGGACAAGCAGAGCGCTGTGCTGTACCAAACAATCATTGCCAAGCAGAGCAGTCGAACCCCAGCATTGGCAATTTCTTCTATGATACGCCTGCCCAACACCACAACCAATTATGTTATAAATGATCTTCAGCTCACTGATCTAGAGACATACATCATTGAAGTATGTGCGGTCAACTATGCTGGACTGGAGCGCTGTGCAGCATCGGACGGTGTGCTGATAGATGTAACTGCACCTACGAAAGGACTGGTATTCACTGGTACAACAACTAAGGGAAAGAGGTATCAAGCATCCAACTCAAGCCTTACTGCACGCTGGCATAGCTTCATAGACCGTCAGAGTGATATTGCCTCCTTCTCTTGGTCTGTCGAGTCTGCTAAAGATGGTTCGGTGGTGAGAGCCAAAGAAAATGTTGGATATCGTATGGAAGCAACTGCAAACAACCTGCAGCTGAACAGTGGTGAGCAGTACGTTGTTGTGGTAGAAGCTGAAAACAATGCCGGCGGTGTAGTGATGAGTGAGAGTGAAGCCATTACTATCGATACAACTCCGGCTGTTAACGCTAAGAAGCCAGTGCTGCAGTTCAATGGTAACACAGCCTCAGTATCATGGGAGCCATTCAAAGATGACGAGAGCTTTGTCTGGTACTACAAGTGGGCAATCGGCGTCGAGCCCTTCGGCAACCAGATCACGGGATACAACATGGCCGGTAACCTTAGCAACATGGCAGAGATGCACAGCACCTTCGTGACAGGCCAGGTGTACTATGCAACTGTGATTGGCAGAAACAGAGCTGGTCTCTGGACATATGAGAACCACTGCTCTCTATCTGTGGTGTTTGATGGCAGTCCACCAGTGCTGAGGGACTTGGACATTGTGGATTCAACATTAGGAATAAAGGTTACTATTGCTTCATCTACATCTGATCTATCCTGCAATTGGGCACTACCAGTAGACCATGAGTCGATGGTAACTGACTGCGCTGTGAACGTTCTTGGAGAATCAGAGAACACTATCCTTCATAGTTCTGGAGTAAGCCCAGAGCAGGTCAGCTATGCTATACCACACTCTGCTCTTGCTGGTGCTAGTGATCAAATCCAATGCCAGCTGCAGTGCTCAAACCTGGCTGGACTGTCTTCATCAACAATGTCTGCAACTGTAATCCTGGATAACATGCCACCTTCACCAGGCTCAGCCAATGTACCTGACTTCTGGGCCAAACCTAACCAGTTTACACTAAGCTGGACGCCATGTACAGATAGCGAGTCTGTAATCACTGAGTATAAGTGGTGGCTGGTGAACACCGCTACTGATGAAAAGATTGGAATGAAGACAGAAAGTGGGATTGCTCAGAGAAGTGAAATTGACGGTGTGCAATTTGAACATGGTCAAACCTATGCTGTGTATATGCAATGTTCCAACTCTGCTGGCCTTGAAACTAACTGGACATCACCAACATTCTTAGTGGATCTAACACAGCCCAGTGTTAGTTCAGTATCGGCAGCTATTCAGCCAGCAGCAAGTGAATCCATGACTGGCTCTAATCCCAATATGCATCTATCGGCAAAATGGCGTGCATCCCGTGATAACGAAAGTGGTGTGCTTGGATATCGCTGGGCAGTGGGCGTCTCTCCTGGTGGATGTCAGGTAGCTGAATTCTCCTCAGTGTCGCCAGATCAAATGTTTGTTTGCAGTAGCTGCTCGCTACAACATGGTGAGTCATACTATGTAACTGTTGAAACGGTGAATATGGCTGGTGAGACAATGACGTCAGTTTCATCGCCAGTGACTGTTGACAAGAGACCACCGCGGCCTGGCCAGGTAGAATTACTCAATGTAAACTCCAAGACGGGTGAAGTTACTGCCCTATGCCAATCTTTTATTGACTACCAAACTGCTATCGTAGGCTGTGAGTGGATTATAGCTGACAATCAAGTGGAGGTCTCCCGTGGACAAATACCCTGTTTGTGTTCTAACTGCACTTTCAGTACATCTCCGCTCTTAGTGCCTCTGCCGACTGCCTCACTGCAAGTCGTTTGTACAGATGCCGGAAATCACTCGGTTTCGCATGGTGTCCAGGTAGATTTCAGTTCCCCTGCCGCTGGCCAGCTTACGTGCAAGCCCTACATTGCCACTGCCAATGAATTGACACTACAATTGGCAGGCTTTTTTGATCTCCAATCTCCCAATCTGCAATTCCGCTGGTCAATTGTGGAAACAGACAGCCTGACAACATCTCTGCCATGGCGAAGCGGTGGCATTTCTTCATCAGCATCTATTCTGCATGCCACTGAGCTGAATCTAAAGGAAGGAGTATCGTACAATGCTACTGTGCAGGCTATAAACGAGCAGGGCCTTTCCATTCGTGCAACATGTATCTTCGAAGTGGACTCATCGCCGCCTGCAGAAGGCACTGTTCAATTTGCAGCTGGCCAGACCTATGTCTCCAGTATGGACACGCTGGCAATAGAATGGAGCGGCTTCCAGGATGACGAAAGCGGTATAATGCGGTATGAGTGGTGTCTATCAACTCCAGGCCAACAGTCTAGCCGAATCTTTTGCAAGACAGTGGGAAGTGAGATGACGACAGCGCATTGTAGAGATTGTCCTGTTGTGTCTGGTGTTGCCTACACTGTACAAGTGACAGCAACAAATGCAGCAGGACTGATCACCATGGCAACATCCAATGCTGTCACACTAGATAGAAGTCCACCCATTGTTGGCGCGGTGTACGAGGGCATGCGGGGTGGCGATGACATTGACTACATAAAATCTACATCTATGCTGAATCTTCAACGCCTTGGCTTTGCCGATGCTGAATCCGGCATCAGCAGATGCGACTTTGAGCTGCGCACTTCTCAGGGTGATAACAAGGTATGGTCTGCAACCGTGTTGGATCCTCAAACATCAGTTAGCCTAAATGCCGATATGCTGCCCACCGGTCAGAAGCTGATTACCCATGTGACGTGTTGGAACCAGGCTGGACTCACTTCTTTCAATGTATCAGATGGTGTGGTGGTGGACTCATCGCGCATATCATTGTCAAGCATTCGCCTTCAAGTCGACTATGAAAGTGGAGTGCAGCCGGAAGTTCAGGTTTGGCTGGATGGAGTAGAGGATAGCGAGAGTGGTGTCGAAACCATCAGTGCCTTTCTTATCGATGTCAGCACGACAGAGCCTGTGTACTCTGTCAATCAAATGGATTTCTCCAGCTACTTTGCCATCTCCGGTGCCAACCTGACACAAGGCGGACAGTATTTCATTCGAGTGACATTGCGTGACCGTAGTGGATGGAGAACCACGGCAGAAAGTGATCAGTTCATCTTCGACTCGACAGCACCGTCCGAAGGCAGCGTAAATGACGGTATTGGTCTGGATATTGACTACACCAGTCACGTGTCTTCTCTGTCTGCTAACTGGGCCAGCATCACTGATAGTGAGAGTGGAATATCTCATTTTGACTATGCTATCGGTACAACACCCGGTGGAACTCAAACCCTGTCCTACACGAATGTTGGCACTAGCACATCTGCTACATGTCCCAACACGCAATGTCAAATCAAGCCCGGTGTAAAGTATTATGCAACTGTTCGTGCAACGAACGGGGCCAATTTGAAATCATGGTTCATATCAGATGGAGTAACAGTGGATACTACAGCACCATCTGATACTAGGATATCTATGAATGGTGATACCTCAACACAGTTCATCTCCACCGATCAAGTACTGCAGGTCAGTTGGGGAAACAGCACAGTAGACTATGAAAGTCCCATCATCGCATACTCACTGTGCCTTAGTGAGGTAGAGGACACGTGCAGTCTTGGACCAGCGGAGTCGGTCGGCATGGTTACCAAAGCTAGTCTGACTGTACCACAATTGTCCAGCAACACAGCAGTCTATGTGGTTGTCATGGCAGAGAACGCTGCCTTGCTGACAGGCACAGTAACGTCATGGAAACTGATCATCGACAATACCCCACCTCGGCCTGGTGTGGTGGTGGACGGCGAAACTAATGATGATCTTGACTGTCAACTCTATGATCAGCCAGTGAGTGCATCATGGCATGGATTTGAGGATAGGCAAAGTGGCATAGCAATCTACCACTGGGCTATTGGGTCGCAGCCATTCACTGCTGATATCCAGGACTGGACTAATGTTGGCTCACAGACCAGTGGTACTGTTGTTCTAAACAACACTAGGCCTGGACAGGTCTTGTACTCATCCATCAGAGCGTTCAACAAGGCACAGATACCCACACAGGCAGCGTCTGATGGCATGCGCCTCCAGTCAACAGCACAGAACAACATCGCTGAGTTCTGCATGGCCCCGTAATTAGTTCGTAGCCTAGATGATGTGTATGCGGACATTAGTTTTTCTCACTCACTCGCATACTTTAGTGCAAATGCAATAGTCTCCCATTTCTTTTTCTCGCGATTACATTTATTAAAAACATGCTATCTATAATCTGGCGCAGATTGAGTATAATCTGGCTTACATGGAAATTTCCAACCTGGCTCTCATTTCCACAGCTGTACTCAGTAGTCAGCTTTTCACCTGCACTCAGACTAGTGTTTACTTTGAAGTCAAACTATGATGTGAGTCAGTTACAGGACTGGATATCCAGTTATCAAGTTTGGTCAGCCCCTGCTAATTTCAAGCGACTTCTATTATAGCCTGACCTAGAATCTTCATATTTGAACCTTGAAGTAACAGCAGCCATTATTGTACAATGAGCATGATACTAATACCGTTGTTGCTGCCGCTCCTGCCAACACTGCTAGCCCGCAGCTTGTGCTTCAGCTTCATAATCCCAAAGAATACGCAGTCTGACTCCCCGCAGTCTCTATCTCCATCTATCTGGTGCAGTATTTACTATTGGTATCTCAGACCAGGTATTCAGCCAAGTAGAGAAATCAATGGGTGCTGTAAAGCTCCGGTGAACGACTCAACAAACAGACTACAGTATTTTCACCGGAGCTTCATGAACAGTAATCAAGTGAATAACTGAGGACCCTATCATGGGCCTATGCACTGCCATGTAATGCGGACCCGGCATGAAGTATTATGTGCATTTGTGTATTCTATTCGCGGGCACCACGCCGCACCAGTGGACCAAAGTGGGACCAAGGGTGGACTGAGGGGGGGGGGGGGGGGGGACCGAGGTTGGACCGGGCCAAGGGTAGGCCGAGGTTGGACCAACAAGCGTGGGCTGAAGTTGAAGCAAGGTTGGACCTGCACGTGGACTGGAGGAGAAACGCCTCTGTATGCTGACCCACGATTATCTTTCTCCCTCTCACTCCCGGGGATCCCGTCCCTGGATTGGACCGAAAACCATGGCATGGGCATCTTTCTCCATTTCACTCCAGACCCTGTGAGTGGCAGCTGAGCTGTTGGGTGCTAGGGTTGTAGGTGTCCTTATGTCGTCTGATGATTGGTTTTTGCCCTGAAAGCGAAACTCTGAGCAGGGCCGGCGGAACCGGTCAGGCTGGTCCGGCCATGGCCGGACCACTTTCCCAGCTGGATTGGACCACTTTCCCAGCTGGATGGTCCATGTGATTCGTGCAAAACCGGTGTAAAAAAATCCAGAGGTACATGACTCGACTGTATTGCCGACGTGTGATGTGCTTCGAAGTAGCTCAGGACTCCGTGACCGGCACTGTATGGCTGATATGGATAAAAAAAAGTTGTGTTTGTGTTCTTTCACTATAATTTTCTGGAGCCTTAGAGATGCCCAAATTCGCTCTATTTCACGTAAATTTTAAATATTTCTCCCGGGGGACGTCCCCCGGACCCCCCTCAAAAGTTCGCCGGACCACTCCCAAACTCCTTCCTCCGGCCCTGCTGAGTAACAACGAAACAGCACTATCTTGCTTCCTTTTGACGTTTTGTGTACCTCTTGCCGTCTTGGGTAGGTGTCCGCTGTAAAGGTGTTCAGTTGTAAGCCGCCGGCTGCAACAAGTAATTAGTTACCATGGTTACAGTTGTAGGCCCCTGACTCTGTCCAATGATTATGTAGACATACATGACTAATAATTATAGTGTCGCATAATCATGATGATCACACACTGCGACGTAACTACTTCGTAAGCCAGTAAAGCAAGCTCAATGCAAGTGCACCTGAACCAGAAAAGTCAGAAACTAACTAATACATGAACACACCACACAGCCCTCTCGCTTCCAACGAAGCTAACTAATAATATTTATTTATGCAAAGTAACGATTAGTTATGGGGCGGGGATACGCAGACTTGACTGCCGGCTGAACCTACAGTCTACCTGGTCTACACTCCTCTGTGTTTCATGGCATCTTCCCTACATTCGCAGTGGGAAAGACGCACACTGCTTGTGCAGGATGAAGATAGCCTTGGCCAATTGGGAGGGGACAGAAACTGAAACTTGAGATGTTGAGTGAAAGAGAGTGTTCCTCGGCTACAAAGCACAAGTACATACATTGTACCAAACGGCACGTAACAGGAGCGGACCATCGCTGTTTCCATTTTGCCTATTCCCATAATATCATTCTCATGGGCCACAAAGTTGCTGTGACTTAGCCAAGCTAAGCCGAGATTTCTCTGTGGATCATGGAGGGGTTATTTATGTACCTAGAGCGGCGAGTAAAGCGAGCGTGGCGACAGTGTGAGCTGCATTTTAGTTACCGCACGGGGTAACGAGGCACACGCGCTTGGTCACCTACGACGTTCAGCCAAGTGGAACTGGACAGGGAGACCTCCCGACGGCAATGCTGGTGTATTGCGATGTAGATGTACGCTGACCATCGATGCATCACACAATGATTATGTTGATGTAGATGGTGAGATCGCAGTGTTTGGTGTTACATGGTAGATCTGTACGAGTCGTGGCAGGTGATATGGGTGCTAAAGCGATACTTGCACTTGCTATGACGAGAGAGGCACAGTCATCCCTTGCACTTTAGAGGCACTAAGGATTTCAACCACGCACTGAAGCCGTCTTTCATCGTTTGTAACACAGTCCACCTTTGAGGCCGCAAACCTGTGGAAGTGGCTCCGAATTATTTGTATCTTTCGGGGCATTTGGCGTGTTCGAGGGAGGCACAAGACGTGTCTAGAAACAGGAAGTCGAATGATATCATAATGTTGGCTAGAAACAATCTGCGGGAGGTTTCGACAGGAATGTGGCTATGCGTTGTTTTGTTGGTGGGAACGTTGTCACCGACTGCTTCTGCTGTGACGACTGCAAGCACTAGCACAGCGACGACGGTTTCCGCTGCTGGCACAGATAGTGAGTACAGTATTTCAGTTCGGTCGGTGGGGCAAACATGGTAAAGAACTCGTCACTTTCTCAGTGCCCCACTATATTGATCCACTTAGCTTCATTTTGTGAAGCAATACTTACACTTATAGGGCTAGTTGTCCTCGATTCAAGACTAATTATATCCATTTGCTCACGGTTACAAGTATAAGTTGCTTGATGCACATCAGCAGCGGACTACATTGACCTATGTTTGTGAACTACTCAGTCAGCCGGCCATACTGGCAGCCTGTAGATCATATGCTGAGATAGCCACAAAAGTGACCATAGAGAATATGCTGAAATTGCATCTAGGATATGTGTGGTATGCCTCAAGACTCTCAGCACACCTGCTGACATCGTCATCTTCATACTCATAGTGTAATGCAAGCTAGGCCGATGAGGATCGCTTTACTGCATACTGCAAGTAGCTGGTGTGGTCACCTTACTGTTACAGCAAGATGAACTGTGATGATGTAGACAAGATGTTGTACAATAGCGGTCAATGGAATACGGAATCGTCCTCGCCGGGCACAGCAGTGCCGGAATATTTAATGCAAGCACCGCGCGCACGCGCGCGCACACACACACACATGCACACACACACACGCACACAAACCCTAGGCTGGGGTGAACTGGACGGTGTTTCGTTTAGTGCCGCCTTTCAAATTGATATACTTATGCTGTAGAGGTGATAACAATTATAGCATGTACTCTTTGGACTTCTTGAATTGCTATAGTATTCATTGTTTTCTGATTTCTGGACTGCATAGATGCTCAGACTGCTGCTACTATAGATCCACTAGATATTCAAACAGAAACAGGACAAGTGACTGTCGATCAAGCACAGACAGATATGGGGCCAATACTCGCGGGGGACCCTGAAGCCTCGGCCCCAACAGAGTCAGCAACAGCTACAGAGAGCAAAGTAAACACCACAACAACTGCTTTTGAACCAACTGAGAAACCTGGCAATTCAACTACGGATAGTAACATGGTGATGATTGGGAATAAACCCACATTGGCTTCGGGTAAGTAAACACAACATGCTATTGTAAAAATCGGTGCAGAAGCACTCGGGTGGGGAGCCAAGGAATAATTTCTAAGAAGAAAAGAGGACCAAAGAGCTACCAGTTACGCTGTTAGGCGTAGACCGTCAGTACCGTTGGCCAGTGTCGTGCAATGCTATCGCATGAGCTGATTGTAAAGTAACCGGTGGTGTTAGTTGATTATAGCGTGACTTGTAGCTCTTTGGTCCTCTTGTCTTCTTCAAAAGTTTAGAAGTACCTGTATGTACAAATTCAGTGGCCACATCCGGACAACCTTTTTTGCCAGTACTAAACATTGGATACAGTGAAGTTGCCCTTACAACTAGTCATGGAATTGCTACTTGTATTATTTTGACAACTATCAACAAACCACACAAGCTATTCCACTCGCCAAACTCCACTTCCGTGCCATAAGGCAAATGGTTGCAGTGCAGCTACTTCAAGAAGTAGTTCTTGTGGTCTTACCACTGCTTACTAGTGCTCACTGATATCTGCGGTGTGTGTGTGATGGGAGATGACATAGATTGGACACCACATGTATAAGCTGGGTACACGGCGACTGTGTAGCGCAGTGCAACGGAATACCAAGGCTGATGTTGGGTATGCAGGGAAATGGACAAAAGACAATGTTTGTATGTTTGAGATGCATGCAATGTGAAGTGAACAAATACAAAAGTTGTCAAACCAGGATATCTACACTCTTGCCACCAACCAGCTCTTTCGGAGGTGCAAACTGTGCACCGTAACAAATATGTGGTGTAAATTATCATGTCTGACAGGTGCCCCCTCTATCTTTCTCTCTCTCTCTCTTTGTCTGTCTGTCTGTCTCTCTCTCTCTCTCTCTCTCTCTCTCTCTCTCTCTCTCTCTCTCTCTCTCTCTCTCTCTCTCTCTCTCTCTCTCTCTCTCTCTCTCTCTCTCTCTCTCTCTCTCTCTCTCTCTCTCTCTCTCTCTCTCTCTCTCTCTGTCTCTGTGTCTGTCTCTCTCACTCTCTCACTCTCTCACTCTCTCACTCTCTCTCTCTCTCAATCTCTCTCTCTCTCTCTCTCTCTCTCTCTCTCTCTCTCTCTCTCTCTCTCTCTCTCTCTCTCTCTCTCTCTCTCTCTGTCTCTCTGTCTCTCTGTCTCTCTGTCTCTCTGTCTCTCTGTCTCTCTGTCTCTCTGTCTCTCTGTCTCTCTGTCTCTCTGTCTCTCTGTCTCTCTGTCTCTCTCTCTCTCTCTCTCTCTCTCTCTCTCTCTCTCTCTCTCTCTCTCTCTCTCTCTCTCTCTCTCTCTCTCTCTCTCTCTCTCTCTCTCTCTCTCTCTCTCTCTCTCTCTCTCTCTCTCTCTCTCTCTCTCTCTCTCTTTGTCTCTCTCTCCCTCTCTTCCTCTCCCTCACAGGACTGGTATGTCCAACATTTGGGAATGCCGAGGTCGGATTTTGTCCCATAACAAATGAATCTTGCTCCTCAGATGCTACCTGTGGTGAAGGCAGGATATGCTGCCGCAAAGGATGCGGTGGGGAGTGTGTAGTGGGCTGTTTGCCGCAGGATACGTGTGAGCAGACTTGTCTGTCTGGATTTGCGCTGGATAGATTCAACTGCACGACATGCTCCTGCAAAGGTAAAGCGCCAGTACATCCGGTGTGAAATACTATTCAAACAATTTAATAGTATTCGGTGATTTAATAGAACTATCCAAAATACAATTTCCTCAATGTCTGACTCACAGCATAAAAAAGATTGCTTCATATCCTCCTGCTCCCGAAAAAATGGGTTGGTCGGTCAGCGACTTTCATTTTCCTCATAGGATATGACGGTCTCTTTGTCTGCTTGCATTCTGGTGAAACATCCTGTAATTGCAACTCCCTCAAACTTGCATTCTAGTGAAACATCCTGTAATTGCAACTCCCTCAAACTTATGAATAGCATGATGATTGTTTAAAGGTGCCCAACCCAACCCATCCCACTCAACACGTACACAAACCTGCACCATTGAGCACGGTGTGAAGAGAGGACTTACTCTACTGTGCACACCTAAGCCATACATTGATGAGAACGTGGTGCGGACTGCAGAACATGTACCGACTGGACAGGACCGGCGGAAGCAGTTTTTGATTGGTCCAGCCATACCCTAGTCTTTCATACTTTGTTTATGATATGGCGGGTATACACATGACCTCCTCAGCAGTAAAATGCCGGCTTTGAGTATCAAACCCAAGTTAGCCCACGCGGGCACATGCGTAGTGATGGTCTCCTGATGCATATCATTAATTATTATTCTGTGCCAAGCATGGTCTGTAATTTGCATTTTTTTGCACTGCTGCTACTGTTGCCTTTATGTGCGCTGCAGTAGCTAGTCGAATGCAGTTTGGTTGTCTTTTCCTTTGGACAAGAAGTGCTTTCCTTGTCAGGCTGGTAATTTCTCTCCCTCCCTCCCCCCCCCCCCCCCCCCATTTTGCAATCACTTCCTGTGCCGGGAGGGCCACGTATACATGGCTGCTGTGTTGCTGCTGCAATGTTGTGGCAGCGGCATCTTGATGTGATGGACTGATGTTGTAACAGTGTACCCATTTGCTGTTGCTGGGTACCGTAGTTTGTCAGTTGTGCCTGTTTGAAGTTGCCAGGCCAGCTTGTATTGGTGCGTTCCCGTTTGCTGTTGCCGGGACACCATGTTTGTCACGGCGTACCCGTTTGCTGTTGCCGGGGCCGTGTTTGTACTGGTGCGTTCCCGTTTGCTGTTGCCGGGCACCATGTTTGTAACGGCGTACCCGTTTGATGTTGCCGGGGCCGTGTTTGTACTGGTGCGTTCCCGTTTGCTGTTGCCGGGGCACCATGTTTGTAACGGCGTACCCGTTTGCTGTTGCCGGGGCCGTGTTTGTGTTGGTGCGTTCCCGTTGAGTTTGCCGGGGCACCATGTTTGTAACGATGTACCCGTTTGCTGTTGCCGGGTGACATATTTGCCAATTGTGCTTGTTACAAATTGCCGTGCTGTGCGCGTTATGAGGTGATAAGAATTATGAGCCATGCATTGGCTTGCTGTGCCCAATGCCAATGGCTCTTGCTAACACGGCAATTTGCTATCATTGGTGATATTTCAAAGAGTGACAAATGTGAAAAAAAAGATAATGGCAAACCCCCACAACTAGGTTCTATGCTTGCTGTGCTGGTGCGAGCAAGTTTTGCAAGCATATTGCAATGTGGAATACCTGCGTGTCTACATAATATTATTATGCTTGGCCACAGGGCCTAGCGGGTGTGTGCACACACACCTGGGTGTGCGGTGGCAGGTGCATGCATGTGGGCTAACACATGTTGGTGGCCAAAACTTGGTCCGGTCATGGCCTGACCAACCGGACCGGTTCCGTCGGGCCTGCGACAGTGGACACCGGTGACTCATGTCACACTGCGATGCACTGCAGCTAGTGCAGTAATTGTCCTACAGGTGGTGCATACAGCCTGGGCTGCAGGGTACGACCGACATTGTTTTCAGAGACACCGGAAACAATGTTGGTCAGAAGATACAAAACACACACACACACACACACACACTTTCTTATGTGGCCTAAAGCGAGAAAAGTATTCTTCTGAGTGTGTGCAAGAATGCATAGTACAGATACAGGTTGACTTGCACTGCCTAGATTATGCAGCATACTGCTGATAGTTCTTCAACTACCTGAAGCATGTATTGGCATCTCGCCATCGTGGAATACTTGTAAAAGAATTTGTTTAAAGCACTTCACATCCAAGTGGGTCTCAGCAGCGATGTGTTTGCTGGTTGTACCTTCATTGCAGTGCATGCATCTCTGATACGGTGTTGCTTCAGTATCTAACTTGCACGTATGGATGTGTTGTATCAACTTTACAGCTACACCTGCTCCACCAGTGGATTCTAGCCATGCATCTTACCACAAGCGTAAGTACAAATGGCACTACTTCTCAGATAGAGAGCTGCAAGTGTAGCGATGCAAAATGTATGCTGAAGTGTACCATACATTCATCTCAAAGACCGTACATTCATCTCGAATACCGTACATTCATCTCGAAGACCGTACATTCATCTCGAATACCGTACATTCATCTCGAATACCGTACATTCATCTCGAATACCGTACATTCATCTCGAATACCGTACATTCATCTCAAAACCGTACATTCATCTCAAAGACCGTACATTCATCTCGAAGAGCGTACATTCATCTCAAAGACCGTACATTTATCTCGAATACCGTACATTCATCTCGAAGACCGTACATTCATCTCGAAGCAGGGATAGTACTTGTCAGCTCTCTTAGTCTTTCTTCGGACACAACAGTTTTAAAAAGTAAATGTTCCTAACACCTTCTTCTGGCACTAAAAAAAAGAGAAGCAAATTATGGTGTCCGATCCCGAAGGGAACTCACGACGGCCGCTAACACCCGGTAAACCCAGTGGCAGATGCAGCGCCTAACGGTGGAGGTGAGTGGATAAGTCTCACAACCGCTGGCACAAGTGCCGAGAAACCCGGGCTGGTACTACCAACTGTAAAACGTTCCTAACGAGTGGTTGAAATTTGGGTTGTAACGAAAGTTTGCACTTCTATAGGGGTGCACATTTGACGGAGTGCAATGTTATCCAATGTATCCTGCCTGACATATTGTTACTGCGCCTACTGACAGCATCCCTTGCTGTGTCTCAGCCACCAATCCAAAGAAGCCTTGCGCCTGGTGGTCCAAGTTTCTAAATACTTAGAACGTAGGTATTATATTTAAAATGTAGAAAGAAAAAGGACATATGGATACGAGTTAAGAGTAACTCTCCATCCGAGTTTCAAAATGAAGTAAGTTTGTTTTATGTGACTACAGCTCGCAATGGAACATGTCCGGAGTTCCAGGCGACAATAGGCTTGTGCACCACGGACATGGTGGTGGAGAGATGTGTATACGATACTTATTGCCCTGGTCAAAGCAAGTGCTGTCGCAGCGGCTGTGGAAGGTCCTGCACATCGCCTTGCTACGAGCCCGACTGCAGTGTGCCATGCAAGTTTGGTTACAAGGCTGGCAGTGACAACTGCGCTACCTGTGAGTGCCGTGAAGACGCGAGCACCATGCAGAATCAAGGTAAAATTGCAAATAGAAGCTATAGCTGTGTCTGTTACCACTCCCTTGTTTAAAAAATATGGTTTCATAATTATTTCATTTTATGTTTAGAATGTGCCCTTGTCCTACGCTGTTCTCTTCAACAGGCTCCTTTTCAACAAGACATACAGTCATGTAGATGTAGCATAGCGATGTAGCATAAAACAAAGACCGAGTTGGATTGCATTGTAGCACATCACGACTGTGCAATTTTTATGTGCAGAGCAGAGGCTTTAAAATTTCTCCTTAGCTTCTTGAGCGGTTCGTTTACTGGTATGCTATGTACATGTCTGTATGAATGCAGTCACCTCCTACCCGGCCATCACGACTAACGCCACCGGTGAACTGGCAACCGCAACAACAACAGCCGGACAGGACATTGCATCACCAAACCGTACCGACGAGTAAGTGTGGCATGACACTCAGAACTGCACAGCATTGCCTGCTCTGTACACTCAAACAAACTTACTGGTCCATTCTCGTCAGGAACATCTGACCGGTGTGGGAATTTCTGGTGGCAGTGACTCTAAGCATGTCGTATGATTTCGTCAGGCAAGCTGCCTAATAGTTCTAGCAAAGATAGCAATTGTCTAACGTACCAAAGAAAATGGAACACTGATTTTCGTAGTGCTTCCCTTACTAAACAATCACTTGGCTTGACAGGCACTCTATCATAGAGTCGAGCGATCCGTCCATTTTCTGTTTGTTCCTTGCCTGCTATCTAGTCTAATTGGTCGTCATGTTAAGATGGAGCTTGAGATCCATGGAACCAATCCAGACGGTGATGTTGATGTGGCGCAGCTGTTGAGTGAGGCACCTGATATCAAAGAGTAAGTGTCAGGGATTTCTGCAAGCCTGTAGCGATCATAATAATAATAATAATTCTAATACAGGTATAAGAACACCATGGCCACATGTAAGAATTCGATTGCGACTGCAGTGTGATAGGCACATGCTGTGGATGTTCCACTCTCAAGGCACCCTATATTATCATGATGTAGTGAGTACCATCATGGCCACGCACTAACAAGAAACTTACAAAACAAGCACTATGCAGCTGCACGCCTTGAACACACAAGTAGAAACTCACACAAAGAAAAGTTGCCGTTGAACATTGAAATTGATGTGCTCTACCTTTCTCTCATCATGTAGGTCACTGAGGCAGCAACTACAGAGTCAGCTTGGCTTATTCCCTGGACAATTACAAGTCACTAAAGTCAGGGTAAGAGGAGATGGCTGTTACACTGACACTGACCTACGCTGATGGACAGCCAAGTATTCGTCTGTATTCTCCCAGGTATAATAGGCTATTCACACGACAGGCAAATCCACGTTTACAGGGAAATCACCATGGAGATATTCCTGCATGCGACCAAAATTTGTCCGCGGGAATCAAAAGTATCCTTGAGCATTTTGCCCGCGGATGCACTCATCTGCAGGCACTTTTACAGTTATGAGCCAGTGAGGATCACCACAGTAACGCCGTATACTCACTGAATACTCGTGGGAGCTCTGGCCGCCACCCGAGGCCGTGTGAACTGCGGACTCACGTTTCACTTCCTGCGGGCCCCTAACAAACGTGGATTTGCCTGTCGTGTGAATCGCCTATAAGCCAGGAAAGAATGGCCTGAAATCTGCCATGATGCAGTTTAAAAAATCCTTTGTGGACTCATCGACCAGCTTTAATAGCACATAGACATGGGGCTGAACATCTGCTGACAACGAAACTAACACTCCTAAAGCCAGAATATCAAGCAGGACCACACGATGTACCATACCAGAGTGTGCTGCTTTACAAGTCAGTTTTAAAACAGTACAAACACTGTCCTGGTCAAACAGTTCTCAATTCTCAACTCACCATACTAACTACTACTCTCAGTACAAGTATGTACTCGTATCTCTTCAACAGAAAGTACATATCAGAATTGACCTACGTGTTCAATCAATCTCGTGTCCCCTTTCTATGTCCTTGCAGGCTGCTGCCACAGCAGATCATCTGCTAGTGTCAATGATACTGATGGAGTACAACGGGACAAGCACCGCCATTGTGGACGAGAAAATCAACCTCATAGGACAGCGGGTATGTCCACTTTCTCACCTTCTTGCCCCATGCACTGCAAGAGATCTTCCTAGATGTAGTGCTGACAGCCACAATACCTCAGATTAGGTGACATACTCCGTGCTACATGTGCTGTAGATAATATATCTGCTACATGACCAACTACCGGGCCCGGAAATATTGTGCTGGTGTGCTTCAAGTCCCGTATCTGCCATCTGCTTGTGTTCTGCACCCTTCTAACAGGGAGCCGTGCTTGGGAAGAAAGTACGGAGCGATGATAATACAACTTACACGTGTCCACTGAATTGGTCAATCACACCCCTGCAACAGTGCATTGTTCTGCTGCGTTGTCAACATTGTGTGTATCAAATAGACCCGCGATGGCCAGCTATGGCTAACACACGAGGACAAGAAGACAAATAGCTTCTACCGCCTGAGATCTGTCGGAATTCTTTCCATCGGAAAAGGAAACCCCACAACTCACAAGCGGCGACAGGTGGTAGCCATTGTTGTGGCTGTGATCGGTCTGGTTGTGCTCGTCCTGATCCTGAGTATCATCGCGTTTGTGGTAGGTTGGCCATGAATTGATACTGTATGAAGTGTACAAGTGCAATGCAGATGAGTTTTAGCCGTCCCAAAATAGGTTCAGAACCTCGTAGCGGTAGCACAAGCTGAAGACAGTGCCAAAACGTAGGAGTGATTGATGGCAGCACTGTTTGGGTGTATTCCAAGTATCGTATAAACAGATCGCTAAATTGACCCACTTGACTGTAATACAGTTGACATCTGTGTGGACTATGAGTAAGACGGTGCTGGCTATTGTTTTGCACTGTGTTTGTTTGTGGAATGAGCTTTACACAGGCCAGGATGTGGAAAGTTGTGCGGTGCCATGCATGTGTCGGTTGTACTCCTCCTGGGCTGTTGTCATCTATTTGAGTAGCATAATTACTTTTTACTAGTCGTTTTCTTCAGATCAGGTACTTGTACATGTTAAAGCAGCTACTTGGGCGAGTTCAGTAGAAAAGAGAAGGATCACTTCCTCTAGAGGTATGGCGAAGAAGTGAACAGATTCCACTATACCGTGTATCCGGTTTGGAGAGGCACAGGCATACAACTGCTTCACAATGTAAGTTATCTGTGTGTTCTACGCCTATCTGCTGATGCTCCTGCAGAACTGGCGAGCGGATCGTCGTAAGAAGTTGCTACTCTCCGGTACACAGCGTCATGTAAGCTACACCTGTATCACCTCGTATCATCTCTCACCTCTAAAAATAAAGAATGGGAAAGTTCCGTCACATTGAATTTCCTCGCACTTGAATTCAGGTGCACATGGCAAGCAAGTTGACATAACTTTCCTTTTCGACTGAAGAACAGAACTACCTTCAGGCTCTCCTCACGAGCAACATTTCCAAAATTTCCACTTTATTATGTTTTCATCACCGTCTCGTCAGGTGGATACAGGCAGAGAAGAAACTAAACAGTAGGGTCACTAAGATATGTACGATGTAAAGGCTATAGAAGATACGTACGATGTAAAAAGATACGTACGATGTAAAGGCTATAGCAGACTCAACAGAGGACGGTCAGGTTTGTTGTAACTTGTAACTACGAGTTTCATGTTGTAAGGCAATCATTAGACAACTGAGTGAACGTCCTCTGCTAAGTCTGCTATGGTCTATGCTCTGTACTATGACATATTGAGCACCCTCTGCAGCTCGGGGATCAACGGATTTGAAGCAGTAAGAGCGATATTGAGAACAAACACAACAAAAGGTTTCCTTCAATTTTTGGACATCATTCTCATCCGCACGTATAGTGCTGCTTAAATACTAAATCTCAATCATGCACAACTGCTCCTGTATGGAACTCTTTCTTCATCGTTGTGTGTTTCCACTGTTGCTAATCTCCGCAGAGTACAGCTGTGCAGTATGACAATACAGAAGGCACAACTTTCATCAATCCGTTCGGCCCGCAAACTGTGCCAATCCCAGGTGCGAAGTGAAGTAGTCGATGGTGAAACGGTGCAACGCTGGTGTGCTGATCAAACCATGATGTTGAGAATGGCGACTTGGCAGCCGTTGCTGTCAGTGGCAGCGTGCCAATGACTCGAACGTGCGGATGCAAGCAACACCTCGAGACAGGGCTATTTCTCTCCAGACTGTACTCTACGGGTGAAAACCAATGCCAGATTACGATCTCAGGCTGATTGATACCTGAGCTGGAAACATTCCAAGCTAAATGTTATAGGGAACAAACCGTTTTCTTTCACCACCCCTCCTCGTTTCCCCGCCATGTTATTAAAAATATATACACCACCAGATTGTGTAAGTAACAATACTTGACAGATTGCTGAGCGGAAATACAACGTTATCACTTCTAAATACAAAGTACATATGCATATTAGTATATCACTCCTTCGTGCACCACGTAGCAGTCCTCATACACATACACACCATACTATTATACCAGTGTTTCTCTCAGTGTCTGTTGATTCGGAGCTATTTCATGATGAAAATTATTGCAATGTATGCTGGTACAAACTGGTACCATACTATTTAAAAGTCAGAAACTAACTGGCAAAATACATGTTATGAGTATGTACATTTTTATTCATGTGGCTTGGTTTCAGAAAACGTAGATGTGTAAATACGATGCCTTCAATACAACTTTAGGCAGCGTTTGTTGGCTATCGTAGCGGCACCTTGATTTCGTAGTGTCTGACTGTGGTGCTAAGAATGATGCAATATGAATCCATCGTGTATATATATACATCACAGGCTTGAACATGTAGAGCGACACAAGAAACCGGCACGCTTGTAAAAGGTATGCTTACTCTTCTTAGAAGTTGGCAAGTCAATAAAAGACCGATCGCTAGAGAAGTGCATGTTGAGATCTTGCCACCTCTCAGCAGCTGCTGGTGACCAGGAGAAGTTCTGCAGGCTATGTTCCTTTTGGCTGCCAAAGGGCACCACGACTCTGGTTAGACTTTGCCATCTGAAGGATTTCCTATGGAAAAGAGTGAAAGAAGAAGCCAGCAGCCATCCTCATATAACGTGCCATGCAGACAACGTCATCACTATCGGTACCGTCGACCAAAAATTATCAAGCTCAGTACTTGGGTGCAGAAGAGAAGATCTCTGGGGAACAACCAGCCTCAGTTTCTGTCCTAACTCTTCGCTTTGGACTATAGCTAGCAACATTCCAGACGCAACTCTTCACTCTGGACTACGGTTAGCGACATTCCCGACCCAACTCTTCGCTTTGGACTACAGCTAGCGACATTCCCGACCCAACGCTTTGCTTTGGGCAATGGCTAAGGACATTCCCGCCTCAACTTCCATCACTAACATGAAAGAAGGCTACATGTGTACTTCTGTGGTGACCGGTCACAAGTATTGTGTTTGTGGTACATTGCTTTCCAGCACTCTAACACACCGTAGTGTCTCTTTGTCAGCTATGCTATTGCTGGAGTGAGAATAGCTATTACCCATTTCGATGCAGGCGCAGTGTTGACCGTGGAATAAGGTATTAAAACTGCAAACGTGTAAGGCTGATGAGAAGTGTGTTTAAGAGCTCAGAGACGAGATAAAGGGACACGTATCTCGATCACGACAGCTTGGGACAGATTGTAAAAGGGACGGGAACAATGCAGGGAAGAAATACGACACACTGTGTGGACATACCCACATCGGTGACAAAAGCACACATGGCGGGTCACATGGCGGGTCACATGGCGGGCCAACATTAAACACCTGTAGTTTGCATGAAAACACTTACAGCCATCCGATCTCTCTCCTTTTCTTCATACTCCCTCAGCTTCTCAGCTGCTAGATGCTGCTTCTGCTCCCTGTAGAAACAGGACATAGGTAGCTAACATGAGCACATCTGGAAATGTGCAGTCACTGGTGAGCATGGATCACCACAACAGTAGACTAGGGCATCAACAAAAGGCCATATTGGACCTACATTGTACAATGAATAATTATTGTGGCCAGGAAAGAGTGAGATAGAATACACTTAGTACCTAGCACAGTATAGTGACATCACTCAGTACAGACTTGGATCACGATACACACCTGATTATTGTGTACTTTAAATACTTAATCTGCGGACTGCGGACTGTACTTTAAATACAAATTTCATGGCACAGTTCAGCATTACAGTCATGCTCGAAATGACTTTGAGCTGGTTTCAAGGTTCGCGAGGCAAACCCTGCATACAAAATACTTTTCAAAGTACTTTTCTGTTCCCCGGCAGGGTACGTTACATCCGGGTGTCGCTGGACTACAGTCTTGCTCATGGCAACCAACTTACAACCTGGTCTCCCTGGCATGCTTCCTTGCAGCTATCACTTTCTCAATGTTACCTCTACACAATCAAACCACCACACAAAGGAAACGCAACGGCACAAGTTAGAAGCAAGGCAAACACCCGCAAGCACCAAACCCCACAGTCAGAGGCTACCATCAGTGGAACACGGTTGAACAATTACACTCTAGTAGTGCTTTACAAGACTTCGTGTTGCATAGGCCAGTAGGAATATCCAAAAAAAGCCTCCAGCGCTCAGTTGTCCATGGATCACCAACAATTTCTGAATAGGCTAACAGTTCCCACAGCACCCCTGGGAGAAAAAAATCAAAACAATCCGTATGTCGCATGCGCCGGGGAGCGAGGGCAACTTTCATACATAAATTTCTCTACAGATTTCCGTAGAAAAGCGCTTTCCTACGTTGGGTCCTCAGTAGGACGTTATGAAATGTGTTTCGCATTTTCCGGATTTATCCATGGCAACGTTCAAGCCGCGCGAAACACAAGGTCCACAGCACATGGAAAACTAAATGGAGTACGTGGTTTAAGTTAAGTTCGTGGTGCATGCGGTGGGTGTATGCAGCCAACGCGTCTCCAACGCAACAAAGCATGCTTTAATAATAATAGCAGTCGTGGAGAAATAGAGGTTCCGCATAATGTAATTACGTTACTAAAAACCGTAGTCGATCTACGGACAGTCTTACATAAACTGCATGCGGATCTGTGTTCCGCCATACGGAGTTTTCAAATCACGTAGCTGGCAACTCCGAACGCGACAGTGTACGACCGGATAGGCCTGGGAAGAGTCATAAATTCGTACCCCAATCCACCTACGAAGCACCTATGTTATCAGAGCTCTATCTACGCACTCTACGTAGACAACTTTCCGTAAGTGGAGTGCAAAGTCGCGAATTCACGGGTTTTTTCCGCCCACTAACGTAAAGTTGCTCAACTTTACGTAGTGGGGAACCTCTCTATTTTCATACGTAATTACGTAGAGCGAAACCTCCCTACTATTTTAATCAAGCACATGTGGTACAAGTAAGTTCACTTCCTTACCCCCCTCTCTGTACTCGAGCATAATCCACATCTGTAAATACACAGCAGACAGCACAGGGGGAAAGAGAGAAGGGGCAATGAGCCAATGCATTCATCGATTTATCGCTACATGTCAAGCTTCGGAATGTAGTGCAGCTGCAGAATGGGAAGTGAGCAGGCCTCAGGTCCTCTGTCAAGCCCGTACACGTGCAAGCCTTCTCACTACTACGGGTGAGGATTTGTTCCCCTTTCCCAAAGACATAGGTCCATCAGTAGTATGATAAACAAGACTGCAAGATCAAATCAGTGATATCTGGCTGACTGCACTCAAGCTGACTAACAAAGTTATGTGCGTATGCCTGATGTACGCCACCAACACAGAATAATGTCACAAAGACTAGGGCGCTGTACGCTACACCAACACAGAATCATGCCACAATGGCCAGGGTACACTATGCTACACCAACACAGAATCATGTCACAATGGCCAGGGTACTGTACGCTACACCAACACAGAATCATGTCACAATGGCAGGGGGTGCTCTATGCTACTCACCGGGGCTATCGCCTCGTGCACGGCGCCTCTCAGCGGCCGCCTTCCGTTTCTCGACCTTGGCCTCATGACCACTTGCCTTGGGTAGCATAGTTTCAATAGCCTTCAGTAAGATTAAACAGCACATGGTACACACAGCACACGGCACACTCTTACGTAGTCTTGGTGTTGGGTTATGCAAGGTTAGACTTGTAACTGATCTACGAGTGTAATATATGACAATTTAAAATATCAGTTGCACGGCATGCGCTGAAGTAAATGAGCTCACAACTTCATGAATACCGGTATTCCTTTCTTTGAATTTTGAGTTTTCCTGCCAACGCGACTTGACACGTAAGTACAGTGCGTATCGGTTATAGCGTGGTCGTGTAAAAGAATATACTGCCTACAAGAATGAACTCTCATGTTTTCATAATCATAACATGGATTTCAAGTGCACTTTTATTCTTACAAGCAATTTTATCGTACAGTAGAATATATCGGTCCTAAGAATGGACTTTGTGTAGCAAAACATACCAGATTAGTACAAAGTATATCGCCTTTAGTAATAACATGTGTCCAATGCAGTTCCGATCTGACTCGCGTTGGCCGTAGTGCTGCAGGTTCAACTGTTGCGGTCATGTAACTCATGAGTCATGTTGCATAGCCACATGGTAAGCCTATGTGACTATGGCCAGTCGCATGCACAGTAACACTACATAATACATTGCATGTACGATCATCTTCCTGCCTCTGCGTACATGCACATGATATGTCACACTTGATGTATCGTGTGTAAGAAATATCTGAATTAAGAATAGAAAGTCGTTTTTCAAACACCCACGCTATAACCGATACCTACTGTATCAACATTAGGGAGGTTTCACTCTGCGTAATTACGTATAAAAATCCGCATGTCGTACGCACTTGGGAGCGAGGGCAACTTTCATACGTAAATCTCTCCACGGATTTCCGTAGGAAAGCGCTTTCCTACGTTAGGTCCTCAGCAGGACGTTTTGAAATATTTTTCGCATTTTCCGGATTTATCCATGGCAACGTTCAAGCCGCACGAAACACAAGGTACACACCGCATGGAAAACAAATGGAAAATGCGGTTTCGGTTCGTGGTGCATGCGGTGGGCGCATGCAGCCAGCGCGTCTCCAAAGCAACAAGGCATGCTTAGCAGTCGTGGAGAAATCACGTAGAGCGAAACTCAACAGTGCTGATTTTTTCGTATGAAAATTACATGCAGTTCCTACGTTATTTTCATACGTAACACGTAAAGCGAAACCTCCCTAATGTCGCTACCACTAATTTGAATGTCTATGTCCTGGGAAAGTAGGGAAAGCATTTCTATTGACATACACAAATGGTGTCTGTGTATTACTTCTCTCGGCTTCAACCTACCTCTCTGTGAAACTCTGCCCTTCGCCGCCTTTCCTCAGCAACACTCCGATGCTTCTCAGCTCTCTCCTCTTCCGCATCTTCACGTTGTGGCTGGAAACCCTGAGCGCATAAAGCATGAAGATGGAAGAGGAAATACTAGAAGCACTTCAAACAGATGTCATTGCCAACAGAAATATGTAGGGTGCAAACTTACCGTAGTCTCTTGTGTTAAAGCCTGTCTAGTACCTCCGGCGCACTAATCACACGGGTACAGACCGGTAGTGGTGTTTTATCACTTGGCTCCATCTCCTAATAATGGGATTACAATCTGAAGGTTCCAGCTGCAAAGGTGTTTGATCTGGGCTGGTTCCACCCCCATTTCAAACCTAGTGGTTTTTTTGTCAATGTTCTCCTTGATGTCTTCATTTTTGTCTCACTTGAGAAAAAAACAACCAGAGAATGTTGTACTCTGTTTCAAGCAGACGTTAGCCTTCACCAGGTGCTTTGCAATGTAAGAAATGGCCGATGGTGACAAGAATAGGGTTGCAAGGAATATTCGAATATTCGACTGATATTCGTTTGGAACCCGATGGAAGGAATATTTTCCCCTTTGGAATATTCGTTCGTTGTGACAAATGCGCACACTCTGCTCTAATGTCGATCTATCGTAGTAATTCTAAAATGGATGGAGTGATATGTACATGTTCACAATGGGAACTATGACTCACAAGAGTAGTGAACATGACTCCATTGTCTACTTGGTCTAGAACAACCGGGGACTAGCCAAACTCTATTTAATCGTTTAGAAAAAATCGATTTGTTATGATTTAAAATATGCGTTTCACCCCTAAAAATAATTCAGCATTTTGAGAGCCTATTCGTTATTCGTTCGTTATGGGTGAGTATTCGTTCTTTTGTGAAATAGAATATTCGTTGCAGCCCTAGACAAGAATCAACAAAACAAGCCTCAACATCAGCATCGTCTGAGCTGGAGATGGAGAATCAAAGCAGTGCACCCACAAGCATGTGGGTTTGGATATACGGGTAGTTGGAATCGAGAGGCACTGCCTCCTCGCCTCCATTCCACACTCAATTGAATACTCAGGAATTTCAACTGCGGCAGAGCAGTGATTCGCAGGACCAGAACGCTGCTCCTAATCTTATGCAGGCCATAAACCGGTGAATGCATAGATATCCTTGATTCTGCACCGGCAGAACTCACCGGTGGCAGCATTGGTCCAACCAATGCCTTGACGGGTGCAGTGCGCACACTTGCGGGCTTTGAAGGACCAGCAGCAGATGGTTTGGAAGCAGAGACAGCGGTTGAGCCAGTAGCAGGCACAGGGGGTCCAAAGCCAGACTGGTCATCGGTTAGAGATGTTACCTCACTAACAACCGAACCCAGCGTCCTCTTGTTAATGCCAGAGATCTGAAGCAGATATCAACAAGATGAAGATGACCAGACGCTGTAGTTATTTTATTTTATTCCAAGCAATACATGGCTGGGGTAGCCAATGACCACTTTGCATGGCGATTGCAGGGTTTATAGCCAACCACGGCTGACAAGGAAAAGAGTAAGAACTAAGAAGTCAAAAAGAAAAGGAAAAGAAGAAAGAAGCAAGGACTAAAATTGTGGTCTACCGGTAAAGCAAGGCGTTCCTGAATGCTGTTAAAGTAGAAAGGCCCTTTGTCTCCTGGTGCAGCAAAAGCCACTGCAAATAGCCATTGAAAGGGTGGGGGGGGGGGGGGGTGTAGCAATGCAGAAGAGTGGGCTAGAGGAAGGGAGAGTTGGTTCCTAGTGGGGCTATCCCGCCGGAACAAGAGGATAGGGCTGTGGATAGATAGAAGTGATGCAACACAAAGAACAAACACAGTCTACATACATGTACAACTGATTGACATGTTGTTTAGGAGAGTATGAAGCCTCTTGTATGGACAAACAGACAGCGTACCACAGCAACTAACGGAGAAACAACAAAACACGGCTCCAGTAAATGCGGTGGTGCTGTCTGCTAGCATGTCAACAGTCAACAGCCAAACACCATCTGATGTTGTTATTCTTTGTGTTTTTAGTTTTATCTACACGCTAAAATTACATACATTCCATGAGTGCCGTGTACGATCCTGTTGACTCCGCACACCAGACGTCTGACCTTTGTAGTATTTCTGCAGCACACCAAAGGTATACAGGAATAGACATAAAAAGACAAGTGGTCCATTAAAGGGGAAGTTAAGGCAAAAATTAAAATTTCACCAGTTGTAGTCTTCGGGGTGCTGAGTCGAATGGTCTTGGTCCAAGGAAGCTGAGACGCTCCCTTCCTACTTGAATCCCAATCGAACTCGCGCACTTCCACCGAAACTGGGTGACTGCGCCCTACTAAATGGGGATTTGTATGCAAAATGTCACTAAAAGCGCCATTTCGTTCTTATAAAAGCACGGATGACCGCGATTGGCCCATATGTTGTAGTCTTTTGAACGCTGAGTCGACTGGTTTTGGTCCGAAAAGGCTGCGATTCAGTGTTCCTCCTTTATTCCCAATCGAACATGGTTGAACAAGCGGTCACGTGCTCCTGCGTACACCAGTCACCTGGTCACCGTGCCTGCAGGGTACAACTTACTAGCCTGTTTGACCTTTTTTGGGTGCAGTCCTGTCACTCGAGTTGAACCTTGGTGTGAAAGTTGTCGCCTGCTGGCGTGGTGACCAGGTGATTTGGGCACCCAGGAGCACGTGACCGCTTGTTCAACCATGTTCGATTGGGAATAAAGGAGGAATGCTGCATCGCAGCCTTTTCGGACCAAAACCAGTCGACTCAGCGTCCAAAAGAGTACAACATATGGGCCAATCGCGGCCATCCGTGCTTTTATAAGAACGAAATGGCGCTTTTAGTGACATTTTGCATACAAATCCCCATCTAGTAGGGCGCAGTCACCCAGTTTCGGTGGAAGTGCGCGAGTTCGATTGGGATTCAAGTAGGAAGGGAGCGTCTCAGCTTTCTCGGACCAAGACCATTCGACTCAGCACCCCGAAGACTACAACTGGTGAAATTTTAATTTTTGCCTTAACTTCCCCTTTAATATCCCACATTCTCGTATGGCATTACAATATCACTTGGCCAATGGCTTAAACACAGCCATTAGACTTGTACACACGATTTAAAACCAGCTACAGAGCATCAACAACATACTTGTATACATACTATGGCCATACACATACCTCATCCAGCTTTCCCTTATTCCAGAGTTTCACAAAATCGTTGAAGTAGGATCTAGCTTTTTCACTTGTCAAGTCCTCGAAAAAGACAGTTTTCTGTGGCGAAACAGAAACACAAACATGGCATGGCATGTCAACTTGAGCAATAATAATATCTATCAACACCAGTGAGAACTGAAGGAATAACATGACATTTGTAGCATTAAAAGACAGTGAAAATCATCCCTGGCAGCAATGTTGTTTTTTCCCGATCAACAGAGGTGAGATGGGTCTCCTGGTGGTCCTAAACTCTTACCTCTTCCTGGAGCCACAAGCGCAGCTCGCGGTTTTTCAGAAAGTAGTCCTTGGATGTGAGCCGCTCTGCATACGTACAAAGTTACTCCACGAGGACAGGCAGTCGGAGGCAGGCAGTTGGGGGCAGGCAGTCGAAGGCAGGCAGCCAGAGGCAGGCAGTCGGATCAGGATGGAGTGAGCATTGACAAGCCAAGGTGGCAAAGACTCAAAACAAGCATGCACCAGCACAAGCAGCGACGCCATTGTCGCCAGCACCGCATGGCCAAACAGCGCGTGAACAAGAGCAGACGACAGCAACATGCACGACGACGACGATGACGACAGCCCACACATACATGCACACCAACCACACATGGCAGCACCTTCGCACCAGAAGGATAATAGAGGATGGCAAAAGAAACATGGACACAAAGGAGAATTAGCAACATGAACACCATTGAATGACATAAAGTACTTGTACTTCGAAGTAATGTAATGCGAGTATACGTGGTGTCGGAACATCTGATAATGTAATTATAGTTACAGCCACCACAGCCCGGCCTTGTTATGTAGTAGTTTTTGGTTAATCATGTCATTCCGCAGCCCCAGGGCTTAACCCCGGGCCGCCGGACTACAACACTACTACAGCACAACTCGAGCTGATCTGCAGGAAATATCTTAGTTTAAAAAAATCATCTGTGGACGGTACTGTTTAAAAATTCCTACAGTACAAGACGATAGGCACATACCGATACAACATGGGGTGGGACACGTAGCACAAATAAGTTGAAATAACCAATCACACATACCATCTACTGAACGCCTTCTACTCTTTTTGGACTTCTTTCTTTTCTTTTTCTTCTTCTCCTTCTTGTGCTTCTTCTTGTGACTGCGCTTTTTCTCCTCCTCACTGCTAGACTCTGAATCTGAAAAATCAAATACACAGATACTGATGAGCCTGACAAACAAAGCAGCATAACAGTTACTGCTCCAGATATGTACTCCCTGTGCCCATGCATACAGCAGTCAGTACACAGTACATGTAGGGAGAGAGGGAAGTTATAGTTACACCTCTGAGTTTCACACTCTGGGCAATCTTTTACCAGTTAATATCCTAGAAGGTAACTGGTGTTCAGGTATACATGTAGTGGGGGCCCAAACATTAGAAAGGAAAAAGTATAAGAAGGCAAGCTATCACCTTTGGTTCGGTGTGGACTAAAATGGACTAAAATGTGTGCGTGCCGGTAGTAGAAGTATAAGAAAAGCTAATGCTGGTCGGTCTGTGTGAGAGTGTTTGAAATGTGTGGAGACGAAGGTGTGAGCTATAAGGGTTCCAAGGTTATAGGGAAGCCGAACAGCGGACAAGATGAAGACATTTGTCAACAAACAGTTAGCAAGTACCAGGGGAACTACAGACTGAGAGCCTTGGCTTTCTTTGAAAAGCCAGTCAACACAGGTCAGCATGTGTCTTCATTAAACATTAGAAGAAGAAAAACAGGAAGCAGGCAGATACGTCGCCTGTGTATGTCCAAGTTAGTTAGGCCCTCAAACACCGGGACACAGGGGCCTGCTCTGGGATTCCCTCTTTTCCCCCCGCGCTGTTCCTGTCATACCGATGGGGGGGGGGGGGGGGGGGGGGGGTGACCGCCAATAAGTTGGTGCATCCCTTCCTCCCCTGCTGCTCAAGTACAATACACTGTGTGATATACCTGACATGGACAATACACTGCTATACATACCTGACATGGACAATACACTGCTATACATACCTGACATGGACAATACACTGCTATACATACCTGACATGGACAATACACTGCTATACATACCTGACATGGATTCACTTGCACTACTATCTTCAGATTCGTCACCAGACTCAGTCTCTGAATGGCGACGTTTCTTATGTCTAGTACACAAGCACATCAGCACAATACACAAAGCATGGAAGTTGAGTTGGCCCAAGTTTCAGCCATAAATCGAAACCTGAATCTAGGACTGCCAGCCTTAACAAATCCCTTGATCGAGTGGCAGATTATCTCGTCACGCAGCTGTGGACCAGCACCCTAGAAAGGCTCATGTACATAGTTGGAACAAGTACTGGCATCAGATGAGCAAATTCGATACGGAAATACGGTGCAACACTGTGATATGAGCTAACAGTTAGAGAATGTGCGAGTCTGGGTTGGAACCTTGCTGAAAGTGACTACGTGACATTTGCACTTGCTCAGTAGCACGTTTTGTCAACCGTGATCTTCAGATGCCAAAATCCTGAAAACCCACCACCCTGGAGCCTCTTGCTTGTCTTGTCGTGTTGTCGGATATAATTACAGGTATCATGACTGTAATGAAGGGGTGGCAGATGCGAATGATATACCGTACTGTCGAAAGTGTGATCACCCCTTCCCCCAGCTGTGTCGCTTCCTAGCTGGTTTTACAGCAGGGATAGGAATTATCAAGGTGAATCAGAACAAGAGCAGTACAATGTACAACCACACAATCAATGGCATTTTACCATACCGGCAGCGGGAATTACCAATGAATTGGAGGACATAAACAAGAAAGGGTTTCAGCATGGTCCCTTGGGATTGCTGTCAACACTAGTACAGCAATCACTGAATGGACTTTGGTTTTACATGGATTTATATAAAATAATTATACCTTAATTATGCAAGTCACAGATCAAACCTATTTGAACACATTGCAGACATGTTCAAATCTAGGCAGACAAGCTTCATTCGGGTCAACCTCTACAGACGGTCAGTATTATTAATAATTTTTTGTTATCATGGATGCAGGGTGCATCTTCGATGATCTTTAAACGTGACGGAAGAAATTTAATTACCTGCCTACTTAGTACTTGTAGGTGCTAATTTTTCTAGACTGTTCTGGGATAGTTGGGATTGGTACATACATGTAACACACGTGGAAAGTAATTAGTTTGAACACTTACTTGCCCATATTTCTGTCAGCGCGAAAGATACTCTTACTAGTCTTAGATTCCTCTGAGTTACGTATTGAATGTCAATCACAAAATGGAGGGGGAGGGTGACGTGGGTTCATAGAACTACTACAAAAATTAATTATAGAGAGAAGAAATGCTCAAGAAGCCACTTGCAGAAACGTGAATTTTGTTTTCGTCAGCGAGTTCCACTCTCAAAACGACAATGAAAAGTGTCAATATATCTGTCATCATGCATGACGTCAACCAAGCTCCTGCATCACGTCACATCAGCATCGAGACTCGACACGTTTTTTATTGCATCGGTTCAGTACTTTTTTTCTTTTGTGTTTTGAAGAGCCATGCACCACGTAGATCTACGTACCACACAGTGGCACACTTTGACTGACTCATGACTGTGCTGTGGCGTTGGAAAGCTGAATGATCTTGAATCGAATCGTGATGGCGAAACTTTGATCTTGGATCTGCTTCTTTGTTCTTGGAGGCTTCATTTTGTTTCATAGCCATAGGTGAGCGGCTGTGGAGCGACGAAGCTCTCATAAGAACGCGACGGCCATATTCTAAGGATGAGCGAGCTGGAATTTGCAGAGGACCAGCCACCTCGAAGTTTGTCACCTTCCTCTCTCGGAGAAGAATATGAGCTGAAGAGAATACCAAGTTCTCCTGGGAGATCGCTTGCAAGCAAGACCAAGCGAAACTGCGCAACAATGGCACAGAATCCTGGACCAGAAAAGATTACGTTCTTGGTGGAGAATTCCCGTGTAACGGTGGAAGCCAGTCTGCTTGCTTCTCGCCCTGACACGATGCTTGGTAAAATGTTTTCTCTCTCCTGTGTTGAGGGTCGTTTGACTAGGCCTAACGATGACGGCGATTACACGCTAAAGGGTGTTTCACTGGACGTGTTTCGCTGTATCCTGGAGTATTACAAGTCTGGCGTGATGTACTGCCCGCCTCATGTACACATTCGAGATCTGAGAGAGGCATGTGACTATTTGCTGCTACCGTTCAACGAAAGAACTGTTCGCTGCAGTGATTTCTGTGCCCTGCTGCATGAGCTGTCCAATGATGGTGCAAAGCTGCTGTTTGAGTCCTACCTCTCGGAGCAGATTCTTCCCGTCATGGTCCAGTGTGCCAAGCGTGGCGACAGGGAGTGTCATATCGTTTTCCTGTGCGAGGATGATGTCGTTGAGTGGGATACTGAATACCCACCCACTACAGGAGAAGAATACTATGAAGTCATACGCTCGACCAAGCTCTACCGCTTCTTCAAATACGTGGAGAACCGTGATGTGGCCAAAGATGTGTTGCGTGAGAGGTCCTTGAAGAAAATTCGCTTTGGAATTGAAGGCTATCCTACTCATATGGAAAAGTTACGCCGCCGTCCGAACAGTGACCGTACCGAGGTTGTCTACAACTACGTTCAGCGGCCGTTTGTGCACTGCGGCTGGGAAGTGGAGGAAGCACGGTCGCGCCACGTTGACTTTCAGTGCGTCAAGCCGAAAGCAGGCATTGCTCCTGACCCGGAGGCTGCGTATCTTATTGCAGGTGAGCCAGCAACAGATCAGCAAGAAGGAGACTGAACCATCCATGGTGCTATGCTGCGACATGTGCACTGCTCTCTGTTGAGCTTTGATTTGCAAGTCTACAGTACCCTGTGCTATTGCATCACGGCAGCACTGTTTCTGTCTATGCCCTCTGGAGCTCATGTCTGGGGAAGCCGGCTCTGAATCCACTGGCATGCCATGACTCTATAGTCAGCCACGTCCTATGCCATCGCTTCTGATGCCTGCAGAAAATTCTCCTCTCCCGTCTCGGAGAGTTTGGGTAAGTTTTCGTTCAGGACTCGTTTGGCATTTTGGACCAACTGGGCCATCATTCTGGAGTAGGCCCGAACTTATGATGTTATTCTATTCTATTTTCATCCACTTGACACCAGCATCTATCAAACTTTACTTGGGGGCCCTGCGAAAGTATACTGTTCCACTTGCCATTTGATTTTGGGATGTGAATATTAGCCTGTCGCTTTGCCAGTTCCTGCAAATCATACAAGACTCACTCTAGAAAAACATGAAATGCCTTTCATTCTATGTGCTTTCTGATAATGACCAAAATTAATCTCTTTGGTGTTGATGCTATGAGATGTCTTCGACTCTTTATACCAGCAGGCATGTTTGTGTCTTTTTAGTACTACCGCTACCTACGCTACTTTGCTCTTTGGATCCACTTGATCATCTGCAGTGCGGCTTTTTACCAAACGTCAATGTAAAACACTTAGTACTGGTACTCGCAACATATTTATGAGATCAGTGACCCGTAGAAGCTTTAGAAAATAGACCTGTGCTGCCTTTGTCCCATGCTTATTTGTGTCCTATTTTGCTTATTCTCTCTCTCTTTCTCTCTCTCTCTCTCTCTCTCTCTCTCTCTCCTGATATATTGCCATAGTTTATATTTCTGTTATGACTTATTAGTGTGAGTATGTTGTCTCCGCTCATTCCAGAAATACTTCATATCGGATTATCCCTGCACGTGCTAGCAGCTATTTGCCTCGTGAAAACGCCCTCGAAACGTTGCCATCTCATTGTCAACCATGTTGTCCATGCTTTTTGCCACAGAAAAACACTATCGCAATTCTTAGTAGTCTTACTCGTTGTGTTGTGTTGTGTTGCGTTTACTTGTACAGTGGTCCCTCTATAATCCGGCACCATTTGTGCCACGAAAATCTGCTGGATTAGGGAGGGTGCTGGATTAACAAATCTGATCTACTGCTGCAATGTGCATGAAGAGGACATTTGGCTACTGAAAATTGTGCCGGTTTATCGAGGGTGCTGGATTATAAAGTGCCGGATTAGAGAGGGACGACTGTATCAATGCACTCGTGAGGACTATGATGTCTTTGCCAGGCTGCTGCATAATAAGCAGCATAGCGGTGCTTTGACGTGTGGTGCTGCAGGTACTCATACTCAGGTACAGGATTCGTAGCGTACAGGAAGACGATACTGGTGACTGTTACTCTAAATGATGTGAGTTTCGAGTCTTTTCGACCCCAGGCTGCCTGGTAGTCACCCTTGGGGCAGAGCTGATTTATACGCGCTCGTGAAAAGGCATCACTTGTCTGGGCCACGCTCAAGGTCAGCAGGACAAGGCCGTGATTGTGAGTTGTGTTGTAGACCGCAGACCATGTAGATCTTCGAAATCCGGGGTAGAGGTGTGTATCGTATCCCTGGTGTGTGCGCACTGTGTGTGCATGTGTGTGCATGTGTGTGTGTATTCACGTGTGACTATGTTTGATAATTGACACATGTATGGTGCATGCCTTTGCCAATCAATGCTGTTTTTGTATCCATACATGTGCTGTGTGTACATGTACTGTCATCAATATTGCAATGGGTATCACAGACTGTCAGTACTCGTGACCCATGGCATGATCATGTTTGTTGGGCACAACTAACAGACCTGTCACAGCACTGGACTGCATGTTGTCACAAAAAATGCCATGTTTATGACATGTACACGCTTCATTGTCATTCTTCTTCTTGGCTATGTCATGCATTGTACACGAGTAACATTCTTCTTCTTGGCTATGTCATGCATTGTTGTACACGAGTAACATTCTTCTTCTTGGCTATGTCATGCATTGTACACGAGTAACGTTAGGCTACATGGCTTTTGTACAATTTGGATTTGTTCCGTTTAGGTCCGAGTCCAAGCTGGTGTTCTCAAGTCTCTTCACGCATTGAATAATAGAAATGCCTCGCTTGCTGCTACACATGCATCTTATCTGCAGTATCCTGGCAAAAACACAAATCCATGCTGACAAGTGCAATCAGCATTGCTTTCCTTCTTTTTCGTTGCTGCGGGAGTGTGTGGTGAAAGAAATTGACGAAACCAATTGTAGAACTCAAGGTAACTAAGTTACTCCACTGCTATATTTAAAAAAAACAGTTGTCACAGGCAAGTAAAATGTCTACACCAATATAAATAATTATAATGTCTCCTGATGATTGCTTTTCAGCATGAAACTCGTGAGTAGAGACATTTAAAATCACTTTTTTGTTCCACGGATTTTCGTGTGTAAATAATTATTATAAAATCACAAAACGACTGTGCACAAAATTTATTTTTAAAGTGATCAAATTGAAAAAACATGCCTGTTGTGATGCGGGGGTTCACTCGAATGAGTTGTTTTGCAATGACTATTCTTTGTCTTTTTTGGTTTGTACATGTTCATTATCTGTGCGAGGTTCGTAATTGCTCACGATACACACGATGGAGGGAAGCAAGAGTTCATGTCATGCTTCAATTAGGTCCTTCAGCAACCGTGTCTCGTTGGCAGCAGCATGGGACAGGTCATGAGATAAGCGATAGACCTTGACGCTGCCGTTCACTCCTCCACATGCTACATACTGAGGTCTGCAATAGAAGCAAACAGACACACGGTCAAGTGAATAGTGTGTCCGGACCAGCATCCGTCTTTTAAACTAAGTACAGGGCATGCGCTAAGGATTAAAATGTGCTCTGACACAATGTCCTGCCAGTTGCAAAAATGGCCGGACATGTCCGGACATGCAAATTTCACATCAAATCACACAATGTTCAATGTAGAATTAATACCATCGAAATGTTATCACGACATGAAAAGAGCATTATTAGAATTGTTGTAGTTGCTGTTTACGACGAAGGAGTCAGAAAAATTCTTGCTGCTGCGAATTTTATCAACAAAACGGGAACACATCTTACACTTCAAATTTTTCGACAACGCTACGATCTGAGGGACTGCGCTCATAGCTCAGCCAAACAGAAGTTGAAAGCTCCCTATCATACTCGGCGACCCACTTGTCACAAGTGGTCGTCTTGACTCCTCTGGGCTTCTTTCCAAGTGGAGCACCCGCATCAGCGGTGCTTGGCTTTCTCTTGCCAGACGACATCACTAATGACTATGAGACAAAGGATTGACGTGCCTTTTCTTTTTTGTACTTTGCAAAAAAGTGCGCGGACACTTTGTCCGGATGTGTACAAAACATCCGGAAACTGACCGTAAACGGTCGGAAATCCGATGTCCGACCGTTATTTCGCGCCCTGAAGTATAGTGGAACTCGCTTAGTACAGCGCTACAGAATTCAAGCGAGTCAATACCACGCCGGGTACTTTGCAGCCCTGCAGATATTGTAATGTGAACAAGGTGCAGGGTGCAACTCAGCTCACCCAATCACCCAATATCAGATTTCATTGCGCAGCACTGTAGATACTGTGACAAGACATATTCTTGCTTAGGGGGGCACGGTTGGAAAAGTTTTTGGTCGGCCCTGAAATGAACACCTTCCATGTCATACTCTGACCTCCCCATGAACGATGTTTGTTTCAGGGATGAAGGAACACTTTTGTAACGACCCCAGTACGGATACATTGTCTGGAGCACAGTCAATGTGATACATTGTCTGGAGCACAGTCAATGTGATACATTGTCTGGAGCACAGTCAATGTCCTGATTTAAAAGTTTTAAAAAACTACATTTGTAACTGTGTATGCTGCGTACCAACATACTCACCTCTTGCAGTTGAATTCCACTGCAACAATAGCTCTCTTCGTAGAATCACCCTCCAGAGATAGAACCGGATGGCTCTGACTTGACTACATAATAGAACAAAGGCAAGCGTGACACATCCACACAGCAGTTTAGAATTCTCCTTTCAAGTCTTTAGATAGAACTTGCTACCCTGCACTAAATCTTGAAATTTGACATCAGATTGTGTTGATTCTGGTCACATGACGTTTGACCTGTAACCCCATGATATCCACATTTCAATACACAGCAAGAGCTGTTCAGAGCACTGTCTACATCACATGCCATTACCCTAGGAATAAAAGTTTTGTAAAGAAAAACAGCACTGTTGGGTGCCAAAGTAGAGTGTGTGTGTGGGGGGGGGGGGGGGGGGGAGAATTGTAGCCCAGACCGCTCTTTTGTAGTGTATGTACCAGACATGTATTCATCTAATTGCAAGTACTATTGATCCACCCTAAAACCACAACCGCTTAGGCATGAACTCTCTATAGCAATTCATTGTACTGCCACCCAACACCCAACGCATCCCGCACCCGGGATACAACTCCTATATCCTCTAGCACAATCATACCTCAACGCTTCTTATTGCTTTGCAACCGTAGAATAAACTTGTATGTAAACTCTACGTGTGAACCCACAGTCTCTTGGTTAGAGACACAACAACTGGCGACGAAGATGGCCGTTGCAATTGGAGCCATGGAACCATTTTCGGTTGGAACGACGGATTGGTCTACGTACTATGACCGCGTCGAGCAGTACTTCGCTGCCAACAATGTGGCCGAAGACAGGCAAGTAGCCACCTTCCTGACCCTGATTGGTGGCTTGACCTACAAACTGTTGGCTGACCTGGTCAGCCCGGACAAACCGAAGGACAAGACGCTGAAGGAGCTGTCCGACGCGCTGGCTGCGCATTGTGCTCCGAAGCCCTTGGTGATCGCGGAACGATACCGTTTCCACAAGCGGGATCAACGCCAAGGAGAGTCAGTAAATGCCTACCTCGCGGAGCTCCGACGGTTGGCACGATTCTGTGAGTTTGGCGATGTCCTGGATACCACGCTGCGGGATCGGTTCGTGTGTGGTATCAGGAGTCAAGCTCTCTGCAAAGTTCTGTTGGCAGAGAAGGACCTCACTCTGAAGACCGCCATCGAGAAAGCCAACAGCCTGGAGGTAGCTACTCGCGATGCATCCGAGCTCGCGGGCAGTGCCACTGCTGCTGGTGTACACGTCCTGGGCACATCGCAACATCGTCGTGCTGGCAGACCATCGTTCGGAGGTGCGAAGTCCGCGAACTCAGGTCAATCCCGTACGAGCTATTCAGCATGCTTCCGCTGTGGCTCGACGGCACACGGCGCAAGTGAATGTCCCTTCAAGGCATATGAATGCCGCCACTGCAGGAAGACTGGGCACCTCCGCAAGGTTTGCAAGAAGCGCCTCGCGGAAAGATCGACACTCACAGATTCAGCGAAACGCTCAAGTGGTAGCAGCGCCTGCCACAGCTTGGCTGTCGATGTCGCGGACGACGACGAGTTCAATTCACTTTCTCTTCTAGCCGCAGACGTCCTTCAAGCGCCAGCAGTCGCCACGGATGAAACGACACCCACGACCGTGCGGAAGGCACTTTGGATTGATGCTATCGTCAATGGCCAGTCGGTCCGCATGCAGGTCGACACTGGAGCTGCGGTGTCAATCATTCCGAGTGCGATTTATCGAAAGTCGCTGTCTGCCTCGCCTCTCACCGCGAGCAAACTGAAGTTGCGTACGTACACCGGCGAGCCCGTGCATCCTCGCGGAACGTTCGTAGCACGCGTGGAATACTACCATCAATCCGCGGAGCTACCACTGCATGTGGTGGACACGCAGGGGCCAGCGCTCTGTGGCCGGGACCTGCTTGCCCACATCGCTCTCGACTGGCAGCGCTTGTTCCAGGTCGAGATGGCTGACGTCCCCTCCGCAACCGTGTCCCCTGGCCAGCAGCATCCAGGATCAGCAGGTACGCGTCTTGAGCAGCTCAAGGAGAAATTCTCCGATGTGTTCAGCGACGACTTTGGCAAGCTCAAGGACGCCAAGGCTCGTCTCCAACTGAAGGACGATGCAAGCCCTCGCTTCCTCAAGGCGCGCCCATTGCCCTACGCCATGCGGCCAAAGGTGGAAGCTGAACTGGACAGGCTGGAAAGTCTGGGTATCGTGAGTAAGGTACAGTGGAGTGAGTGGGCGACACCAATTGTGCCTGTGATGAAGCCCAACGGCTCAGTTCGTCTCTGTGGAGATTTCAAAGCCACATTGAATCCACACCTGAAGGTGGACCAGCACCCGCTACCACGCGTGGAAGATGTCTTCGCCACCCTGGCTGGAGGCCAGCGATTCACCAAAATCGACCTAAAGCAGGCATACCTCCAAATGGAGATGGATGACGCATCCAAACCACTCCTCACACTCACGACGCACAAGGGCCTGTATCAGCTCAACCGACTCGGGTTCGGTGTTGCCTCTGCCCCAGCGCTCTGGCAACAGGCTATTGACCGCATCTTGCACGGCGTCCCAAGCCAGGCCTGCCTACTGGACGACATTATTGTCACCGGCCGCAACGACGATGACCACCTGGACAATGTGGAAAGCATCCTGAGTCGTCTGTCGGACCACGGCCTGAGAGTCAACCCGGCCAAGTGCACGTTCTTTGCAGACCAAGTCGAGTACTGTGGACACATTGTCAGTCGCCACGGCTTGCGCAAGACTGATGGCAAGGTCAAGGCTATCAACGAAGCCCCAGCACCGCAGAACGTGTCCCAGCTACGGAGCTTCTTGGGCATGGTGTGCTACTACCAGCGCTTCCTCAAAGACTGCTCCACGACCCTGCATCCACTCAACAACCTGCTCCGGAAGGGTCAGTCCTGGCGCTGGACAGCGAAATGCGCGGCTGCATTCAAGGCTATCAAGGCAGCCATCGCCTCGGATCAGGTCCTCATGCACTTTGATGCCGACCTGCCCGTGCAGTTGGCAACCGACGCATCACCATATGGCCTGGGGGCGGTGCTCTCGCACATCATGCCGGATGGTACGGAAAGGCCGATTGCCTTCGTGTCACGGTCCCTGACGGACACCGAGAAGCGGTACGCCCAGATCGATAAGGAGGCGCTCTCTATTGTCTGGGGCGTCCGCAAATTCCACACGTACCTGTTTGGTCGACCGTTCGTCCTGCTGACGGACCATGAGCCGCTGACAGCCATCTTCAGTCCTAGCAAGGGATTGCCAGCCATGACGACGGCCCGCCTACAGCGGTATGCTATCTTCCTAGCAAGCATGAATTATGAGATCAAGTACCGCAAATCAGCCGATCATGCAAACGCTGACGGCCTGTCACGCCTACCGTTGCCACACTCACCACAGGATGAGAGCCTAGACTGGGCAGACGTGTTCAACATGGCCCAGATCGACCCGCTTCCAGTCACGGCAGCTGAAATAGCGCGTCACACAAACCGTGACCCAGTTCTCGCCAAGGTCCTAACCAGTGTCAGCACCGGACGGGCCCTGTCCACAACCGACGGTGACATGCAACCGTTTGTACGACGCAAAGATGAGCTGGGCCTACACCAAGGGTGTGTCATGTGGGGAATCCGTGTCGTCATTCCTTCCCCACTGCGCCACCGAGTACTGGAGGAGCTGCACAGTGGCCATCCTGGGCTGGTTCGGATGAAAGCACTAGCCCGCAGCTTTGTATGGTGGCCAGGCATCGACACAGACATCGAGCAGACCGGCAAGGCCTGCCTTGGCTGTCAGACACACCAGGCGGCGCCACCGAAGTCACCGTTACATCCCTGGGAGTGGCCGTCCAAGCCATGGCAGCGTCTCCACATTGATTTTGCCGGGCCGTTCCAAGGGCACATGTGGCTGATTGTGGTGGACGCCCACAGTAAGTGGCCAGAAGTGCTCCCAATGAGCAGCACCACTGCCCCAGCTACCATACGCCGTCTCCGAGAAGTGTTTGCTCAACATGGCCTACCGGACCAGATCGTGAGTGACAACGGCCCGCAGTTTACTGCAGATGAGTTCCGCCGTTTCACAGAAGCCAACGGCATAACGCACACGTTCTCAGCACCGTACCACCCAGCGACCAACGGGTTGGCTGAACGATTTGTGCGTACAATGAAGCAGGCGCTCAGGTCCCATTCTGCCACAGCACCGCTTGAGTTCTTGCCTCGCTTCCTGTTGGCCTATCGCACCACACCCCATGCTACAACGAATGCCACACCAGCATCCCTGCTAATGCACCGGGAGCTACGCACTCGGCTGTCGCTGGTTCAACCCAGTGTCCAGGCATCTGTTGCTAAGAAACAGACAGCTCAGCGTAGTGCAAGAGCAGCGAACCGTGAGCGCACGTTTGCTGTGGATGACACCGTCATGGTACGTGACTACCGCACCAACGCACCACACCCGTGGATTCAGGGCACAGTACAAGCGGTACACGGATCCCGCCACTATACAGTGGAAGTTGGCCCGGACCAGCAATGGAGGCGCCATGTTGAACAGCTCCGGTCAGCCGACTCCGCTCCGCAATCATCCGTACCGATGAACACAGCGCCTTTGCCGTCCGTGGCAGAACCGGATCACAGTTTGTGCTTTCCGACTGCTCATTTGCCAGCTAGTGTTCCGACACCACCCAGTGTCCAAGCCGCGGCTACTCCAACACCTCCGCCTGCGCAAACACCAGTAGCAGCAACTACGGCAACGCAGCAGGTCCAGTCGCCGCTGGCACAAGATACGACTGAACCCCGCCGTAACCCGCCGAGAGCCCGAGTCCTGCCGGCTCGCCTGAGAGACTGAATTGCTTCTTGCTCACACAATTGCTGTCCCGTGCTCTCAGCTCATCCGCTTCTTCTTCTTGTGCATTAAATGTTATGCCGTATAGGAATACCTCGCAGCTCAACATGTACCATAACATTTAGGGGAGGAATGTAGTGTATGTACCAGACATGTATTCATCTAATTGCAAGTACTATTGATCCACCCTAAAACCACAACCGCTTAGGCATGAACTCTCTATAGCAATTCATTGTACTGCCACCCAACACCCAACGCATCCCGCACCCGGGATACAACTCCTATATCCTCTAGCACAATCATACCTCAACGCTTCTTATTGCTTTGCAACCGTAGAATAAACTTGTATGTAAACTCTACGTGTGAACCCACAGTCTCTTGGTTAGAGACACAACATCTTTCTTCTTCTTTTTTTTACTGGAGTCTCTGTGTAGTTGAGACACCGCTATATAGTACTGTGTTGGGTGACATCCTACAGCCTGTTCGTTCTTCAATGCACTGTTGTTTTGGCTCCTGGCAGGTCTGTAGGTATAAGGACAGTGTACCCAACGCAGGTGCGCACCTGACTACTTAACCTGGATGCCGCAGGTCTGTTCACATCACACATCACTAACCTTGTTGTACCCCCCCCCCCATCATTCTTACCTTGAAATCATACAGTAGAAGATGGCCATCGGCAGAGCCTACAGCACACACTAATGGACGAACTGGCGACCATCGGATGCTGTACAGATAGCCATGTCCAGCATCAGCCGAGAAAAGAGGACGATTCTGCTCACCGGAAAAGACAAAGTACACTTAGATCAACAGCCAGCCTTGTGAATGCAGACCTAACACAACACAGGGGCGTCAGAACCTGTGGGGTAGGTGCGAAAAAAGCAGCACCAATAATTTAATATTGTGCTTTTTGAAGCAATAAAATATGGGTTGTTTGGGCCCAATCCCCTCCCCCCCCCCCCCCCCCCCCCCCCTGCCTCTTCAAGGCATGGCCGGAACCAATGTCGAAAACCTTCCGATGCCCTTGATGTGGTAGGCCGTTTCGTGCCATAATTGTATTATGACACAATGCAAACAAAGTAAATTTGCTACAGACAGAAAATACAATCAATGTCAGTGCATATAATAACACACCGTCACATTCTTAATCTTTTTTTTTAGTACATAATTATCACCGGCTCACTAACCTGCAGAACGGAGCAGAAGTGAATACATCCATCTGTGCCGCATGATAGAAACACATTGCGATGAAATGGTGAGCAGTCGATACCGTACACGGGACCCTTCAGAGGAACAAATGGGAAGGTGATTGGCGACTTCATCTGCGACTCGTTACCAATGCTCCCACCTGTAGGCTTGCCAGCGGATGCATCAGGTGATCCTACAGTATCCGAGTAGCATGTTAACAAGCAGAAATAGACAATGTAGATTCTGTAGTGGGGGGGGGGCAGTGGGAAAGGGTAAAAGTCCGAAGATACATTTGTCTGTCATGACCCTGACTCGAAGCAAGGACCTTCGACAATATATCAGCATATCCTACGGCATCCTATATCTAGCCATGCAATTCCTAAGAAGAGCTTCGAACCATAGTAGCACGATGAAACTACTAGTGCCCTCTGCATTACCAAGCACACTCTAACGGCAATACATGCAAAAGAAAATTGACCCAAGAGGTACCGTACTCCACCCATAACAGGCATTGAGTACTGTCGGCTGTAGCCCTGCCTCTATGTAAAACAAAGTGGAAACGTACGCAGTCCTTTGTTCCCTGATGTAGTCTGGTGTCCCAGGTTACACTTGAAGACGTTTCCACTGTCACAACCGACAACAAACTGCCGCCGGTCAAACGTTGAGAACGACACACTTGATGCTGAACAAACAGAGATGACACATTGGACTGACACGGCTGCATGCTCATAGCTAGTGCTGTGAAATGTATACCAGTAATTGTATTATTATAAATGTAATCTTCACCCAGTCAAGACTGCAGTGCACTTCAGGCTATACCAGCTCTAATGAAAATAGTGACCGTTGAATGCGGATGCTGATTTCACATTCAGATTGTAATACTATCCTGTGCTATCCGGCATTGCTGCATGCATCCAGTGAGGCTACGTAACTTTATGCACAATCATTTGGTGGTAGTTAGGCGCGTGCGCCGGTGCCCTTCAAGGGGGGGGGGGGGGGTTGGGGGGAACCTCCCCCGAGAAAATTTTCAAAAAATGAAGCAAAATCCTGCATTTTGAGCGAAAAAAAGGGGGGTTCCGGGCGCCCAGGAACCCATACGGGGCACGCGCCTACTGAGATCATGAAAGGAGTCTGTGACTTGACGGCGACCGAAAAGCTGGTTGAATGCATTGCCCGTACAGGGCCGTCGGAAGGCAATCAACATTGGTGTGGCTATGAAGGGGGGGGGGTGGTGCCTTCTCCGGAGAAATTTAGGTAATAGGTCCCAAATAACCCATGTTCCATTGCTTCGAGAATCGCAGGATAACATTATTGTTGCGGCTCTGGCCGCACCTGCCTCACAGGTTCCGAAGCCCCTGCCCGGCATACGTTACTATAACAGTGTTTTGTTCTCTTAGCCATCGGTTGCTGGTTAATACCTACCACCAAATTGACCACTGGCTGCCGTTGAGCCACCTTTCAAACTCTTCACTACATTGCCTGTGCGAAGGACATGCCTGCATACAACATACGCAGCAAAGAACGCCATGTTTGTGTTAACTTCCAAGTAATCCAGGTAATCCAGTTGCATATTCTAATAATCATTAAAACTCCTGAGCATCATTGAAATAGAAAGTGAGAGACTGAGAGAGTGAGAGAGAGAGAGAGTGTGAGAGAGAGAGACCAAGGATCGATGTGATAACTGATACATACCCTGCAACTAAATCCAACATCGCCGCTGTTTGATTAGGTAAGGCCCACGTCAACACTTTGCCATCAGAACCAACACTTTGGATCTTGAGTTAGAGGCAGACAAAACACAAAGGTACAGCAGGGATAATATGGTCAGACTTTGACAGTTGATCGGCAATCAACAGCCAACTGCATACACACTATAACTTGTTCCACTCCACCCCTGTATCATGCTATCATTGCATGCAATGTTGGTCACGCATGATACACATCATTATGATATCATAGAGGATTTCCAACCCCCATCAGTCGTACACAGCGTTTCGGGAGGTAAGTCAAATCATCTCTAGAGCTTGAGCTGGTCATAGGAAATAGTGGATGAGAGCACTTGGGGGGGGGGGGGGGTCCCATGGGAGTTCACCAAGATCTCAAAGTTGAGAGTAGGAGTGAGGAGGTGAGGTCACCATGGGGGTTTTAAATATCCACATCAGCCATGGCACAGAGGGAGGAAAGAGAACCAGGAACCCATGCAGATACTGCAGCATGGAAAGTCCACTGACCAATGCCGACTCAGAGTGCCATAGTGATACCACCAAACTTATGGATCTAGGGTCAGCTATTGCACAACAACACTAATCTTGTAGGAGCTGACCGATGATTGGATAGCTCAATTTGTTAGGCAGATCTGGCAGTTAACTGCCTTCTTAATCTATCAAATCTGGCATCTAGTACCTTTTATGAAGCAAAATGCAACCGTCCCTCAGTGCGAGAGTACATGGTTGATCAAAAAATGTCACGGTAGAACCTGGAGTTTGCCTATCTTACCTGATACTTCTTGCCACGACTAGCAACATCTATAGTCCAGACAACCTGTACAGGCATATAGCATATACATGTAGTACCGTGACATTGTGATCACGATTGGCACACACTGCACTTTACAAGGCATGATTACTGTACAGTTGATGCACGGACAGTGAGGGAGTGTAAGAGGCTGCTCTTTCAAGTCAATGAGATGTTCACAGTGAGGGTGTGGAAGTACTGCTTGTCTTATAATTATCCCTCGCCACCTCTGCCTTCTTAGCTGAGCTTTGGGGCTAGTACCTGGCCCAGACGGGGAAGGAGGATTTCTCCATGTTGGGAATGAAGCGGCAACTTTGCCTTCAAAAGGTAATCATGTTGTCAACCACGTACCCAGGCAGTTGTTATGGTCTACAAGTATTTCAATTATGTATGTGTGGAGCATGCAGCTAACATTATGTGGACATCAAATTAGCCACAAGTATGTATATTATACATGTTGGCCAATGGTGGCCCATGTGAAGGCATACAGTTCAGTTTGTAAGCTCAAAAGTTAAACGCAAGTTTCAAACAAAACTGGCTTACACTTGTTACTGGATCTTGGTGTGAGTTTTCTGAAGGGCTGGCATGTATTGGCTTTGCATCAGTCTTGGATAAATCCCACACAAGCACGTCACCTAAGAAGACGAAGAAAGGTCCATAGAACGTACATGTACAGTCACTGTTGAAACAGTTGTATGGATGAGAAGCATCACTGGCTGGTGCCAGCTACCACCATGCATTGCACAAGTCAGAGGCGTCGCACACGGTACGGTCACTACAGTATTGACCGTACCACTTTTTGCCCCAGATACCCGTGAGTCAACAAAATACACTGATCTGGGATCTAAAATTCCAAAATTTTCGGCTCAGCCACCACTCCCCCACGAGTCAATTGTACTTCAGATGGCTGACCGTACCACACTAAAATACCTTCCGACGCCCCTGCAAGCGATAGTACTCCATCATACTGCTTGAGACTCGTTCTCCATTACTGTGGCCCACGATGGCATAAGAGCTACAGTATGGACAAGGTCATCAAAGCATGCAAATATAGAAATGCTACGGTACAATAGCAACATGGTCCATGTACATTGAGTTCCCAAAAACGAACTCCTCTTAGAAGGGATGGGTGCAACTGCATGAGAAGCTTACCATTGTAGGTTCCCGCGCAAAGTACGCCTGGGGTACTGGGATGGAAAGCCACACACATCACACATGACTGGAGAAGAGAAACGTTCAAACAGACCAACGGAGAGTAGAAAGGTTCAATCTACAAACAGGATATCAGTCTAGCGGTGCATCAGTAGCCAGAATACGACGACTCGTACCACCTCTGATCAAAAGGAACACAGATACTTGGAAGTACATGGTTGTTCAACAACAACAACAACAACAACAACAACAACAACAACAACAACAACAACAACAACAACAACAACAACAACAACAACAACAACAACAACAACAACAACAACAACAACACCCAATTCTTCCTCACCATTTCTCCTCTCTCACACTATTATCTCTTATTGGCCTCTGGCTATCGCGAGAATAAAGATTTGAAACAACAACAACAACAACAACAACAACAACAACAACAACAACAACAACAACAACAACAACAACAACAACAACAACAACAACAACATGTGTTCATCGAAGGGGTACTGCAAAAGTCAAGGTTACAGTTTACTTACCATACAGTCGAGCATGACATCAGCTTTGTTGGCGTCTAACGACTGGCGATCAATATTCCAGGTACAAACACCTGCCTAAAGTCAAACACAATAAAGCAACATTGCCACAGCATGCATTCGACCAAGGATTACTTTGATGAAACAAGCAGTGTTCAGAAAATGATCAAAATGGAGTGTTACCAATGGTAACAACACAAACAAATTTATGGGTGCATTGCTGAAACCTATTCTGTGCAAGGCAAAACCAACATTGCAGAGGGCCAGTCAGTGTCTGTTCGAACTATTTTACAGAAGCTGGGCCCCGCTTGACCAGAGGCGACCTTGAGCCTTGTGACTGTGTACTGCGTGTAGTGCAATTAGTCATACACTGACATTGTTACTACATCTTGGCGTGTACGAGCTGTTTTCTCGCAGCGGGGGGGGGGGGGGGGGGAGCTCTCTGTGTAGTAGAGAGAGAGGCCTAGCCTAGGAGGATACAAAAGGCAACTATTCCCAGTACTGGTACCCCTTGTCAACGCAGGATGCTTGTCCTGCCAGTGCCTTTTTAAAGGGCATACGCCTTCCTATCTGCATGCATGAGAGCATCGGGCACACTGCTGATACCATGCGTCAACTTACCTTGTGTGTGCATAAGTGTTCATGGTCCAGTCTACCAAACCTATCAACACGCCAAGTTAGGGAATAGGAATAATGGTGGCATATTGCACCTTATCAACACAGGATCCCTTTCTCACACCCGTCATTAAATTTCCCAGAACAGAGCCTTCACTTCAATATTCTGTTGACAATGTGATGTTGGTAATACGTGACAGGCCCGCCGAAACCGGTCCGGTTAGTCAGGTCATAACCGAACCAACGCATGTTTACTGCTGAGGAGGTCATGCTTACCCACCATATCATGCACAAATAATGAAAGACTGTGGTAGGACCGAACCAATCAAAAAATTGCTTCTGCGGTCCTGGGCTACATTGTTTTTGCATTCAAGTATATAATTCAACTATTCACTTGAGAGTTATCAGTGCTACAGACCCGACCCTGTGCTGTACAAACAATATATAGCTGAGGAATTGGAGGATACGAAACTGCAACAGTAGATCCGGTTGCACTCCAGCTGACGCCACTAACTCCAATCTAACAAATCATGCACAGATGCACACACACATACACACATAATGTACACACACACACACACACACACACACACACACACACACACACACACACACACATGCATGTACACACACACACACACACACACACACACACACACACACACACACACACACACACACACACACACATACACACACACACATACACACATGCGCACACACACATACACACACACACACATACCCACACACCACCACACACGCACACACAAGCACAGGCACACACATTGACTTCAGCCATGACCTATCCTTTCGAACTGTACCAGCAAATCTGTGTGCGCTTCAACTACCTGCAACATGCTCGACATAGCCTGTGTTCAATGCCAATGTCAGTCCCTGGCATATAAGGAACACTTACCTCCGATGAGAGATATGGTTCAGTCAGTGTATGCATACAATCCAGTCCGCCGTAGTCTTCGCTCCAGTCCACATCATAGCCTGGAGTGGATAGCATAGGCATACCGGTAGTCACACCCGCATACTTGTACAGCAAGATAGTCCATAGAGAAAGGCTGACAGGTACAAGCTGCATACAAGTAGTGTATTCGAACACCTGCCCTGATATAGGGAGCTGACTGGCTATGGGGATCTACCCGTACACAGGGATCTGCCCCCTATACAGGGATCCATACGCAGATGATTGTACAGTGGGATATTATCGCATTGTGGGTAGTAGCTGTATGAATTCCAAAGCTCAGACAATTACACTAATGCACTGCATTGTAAGTGGTCATGAGTGTTTCAAAGTGTGATTTACTGCAACCTCCGTACTTTGACAAACTGCTATGCCATTGCATAAACTGACTAACCATGAAAGGCATGGCTGCTGATATTTTCCGTCAACTGTGACCTGACAAGTGGATAGACACGCTTCAGGAATGCAAGAACTTTCTGCGCATACACACATACACATACATGTATACAATGAAGTACATAGTATACACAGCCGGCAGGTGAGAGACGTATACACAGCCGGCAGGTGAGAGACGTATACACAGCCGGCAGGTGAGAGACGGAAAACGTGTCACTGTCCGTTGTAACTAGGCATCTGTCTGTTTTGGAATCCAATTATCTAAAAAAAATACATAAAGAGATGATTTTGATGATCCTATCCCGGTCCAAGTGGGACAATGTCAGATGAGAGGGGTACTGTTGAAAGTCTTACCATGGCTCATAACTAAGTAAGTTCAATGTTGAAATGCAACAGGAGAACCTCTAGTACTAGTGTCACACACTCCTCAGTGTCGCTCTGACAGACCAGGGCGTTGAGAGCGATAGGGTAAAGATAGGAAAACATAATCGTCTGGTGTGTGACTGGCTGTAGTATTGGTGTGTGACTGGCTCTACTATTAACCGTAATATCAGCCAGGCTAGCTGGGTCCATCTTCAAAACGATTTGCAGAACATTACCTGTTTGTCGAACGGCTGCTCATTCACATTCAGCTGCACATCGGCCGCATCATCAGTCTGCACCTCCACATGCTTCTTCTCGACAGGCTCCGTGGCCTTGTCATCAGCCAAGATCACACTAGTCTGAGTACCGGCACTGCAACTTTCCGGCCTGCGATGCAAACCAATGATGTCAGTCATACACACATAGACACTTTTCAGCCTGCAATACCAGTGATGCCGGAGACACGAGATACATATCGACACTTTCCGGCCAGCAAGGCCATGCCAGTGATACACAAGATACGCACATAGGCACTATGACACCACTCATGGGGCTGGCCAGCCGGCCCGGCATCATAGTCTCTGAGCATACATGTACATGTATAAAAAAACAAAAAAGAATGGGATACGGAGCTTGGTTGGCTGTGACCACACCACACCACACCACACCACACCACACCACACCACACCACACCACACCACACACCACACCACACCCAACTTTCCGCATGTAGGTGTATGTAGGTGCATGGTTAAAACCAGGATGACTCATGCACATTGCACACATGACATCAATCCCAGGGCCAGTCTGAGAAAGTGGATGGTATAACTCATTACACTGGGCAGCTTACTAGACATCTACATTTGTACATGTATCATAATTACAGTGTCTGCTCCAGAGCCGGGTTAGCCGGGTCGTGGTGGGGGGGGGGGGGGGGGGTACTTGGACCCGCTTGGAAAAAGAACACGGGTCACTTGTGACTCGGTTGGACTCAATCAGGGAATCCTAAGACTCCCGGATGTTTAAATGTACCCGGGACTGACCCGGTTGCAAGAGTTGTGCCAGGCACACGTTGTGTACACGGTTGGTTTGAAATCCTAGAGCAGACTCGGAATTACGCAATGACATGTAGATCCTGTTCTGATGAGTGCATGTACGTGTACATGACTCAGTGTGTGTGCAATTGGCAAAACTCTTTCTTATGCATGAATGTAAACTTTGACGGAAGTCAACTGCAACGGAAATAAAACCAGTCCAAACTTCTACCAAGGACTGAGTCAGGAGGGCCTTGATATTCACCAAGCAACACTTCTCTTACACCTAATTTCCCTTATTACACAGTTACAGTTCACATTCGAATATGAATAGTTGCCTTTTCAAAACGCTTACTCTTCAATTTTCCACGTGGAGTTGATGTGGACAGAGTCGCCATCAGCGTCTTGGAACATGCTTGCCTGGATAGGCCACTGTTACTGGGTAAAGACGTAGCAGCTAGCATTCATTGATACAACTGCAGCAAATACTACACCCAGTCGGCAATAATGTGACACCGGCCAGGTGTCGTATACCGATACTGAGCCAAAATGTGAGCGGTAACCCTTCGTCACCATGTGTGGAATGTGCCCTTCCTTTTGTTTAGACTAAAAAGTCTTTACACACACTGTAGAATGATGTTGCGACTGGCAAACGGGGACGAAACTAGGGCCGTAACACACACACACACACACACACACCACGTCTACACACCGTCAATCGTCGTACGCCAAGTCCTGTGGTACCACACCCAGTGCAGCTAGTAATCAACTTATCAAGGACTTAGGTAACTCGGGGGCAGTGCAGTGGTCTACTTTGCTGAATCGTGAAGCAGCGGACGAGAGAGCGCTGTCCCACTCCCAGTGCGCGAAAAGAGCAGTGAAGACACAAGTACTGTAACAAGGTTACAACTAACGTCATGACGTCATGTGTCTCAGTCTGAACTAAAATTTACTGGAATGAACAAGAGGAGTACTATGATTGTATTGAGTAACCAGTTGTTTGAACAGGCAGGCCAGATGCGTTTGAATGGACTCGACTGATGACTTTTGATACCCTGGAGCCTTTTACAATGTACATTGTACATGTATTTTGCCTTGATTTCGGACCAGACTAGGCACAACTACGAACTAGTCGACTGTACCATTGTCACTATCCTGTACGGACCAGTGCCACTGCCAGTGCAACACTACAGTAGTGGGTTGCTAGCAGGGAGTCATAGACTATGACTCCCTGGTTGCTAGTTTGTTTGGTTTGTTTGGAGGAACAACAGTAAACAGCTGCCATGTCGACGTGTTTCCAAGGTGATTGATTATCATCATTTTTTTATGACCTGGTCCTGGGCTGTGACATGACGACACGTAGACGTCTAGACCTACGTTAGTACGTAGATCTACACATGACGCGCGTAGACCCGCGAAAAAATCAGATTATTCTGATCTGGCACATGCATGCACATCAGGGAGTCGTCAAATATATTTGACGACTCCCTGATGCACATGCATATGCATGGTGTGTGGTAAACATCTTTCAAATAATTCTTTGGCATTCTTTGCCCCTATCCCATAATAATAATTATTATTATTCAAGTAAAGTGATAGAATGGGATTGATCGTGAATTACCTACACAGTTGTAGCGAGATTATGAAAGTGCCATATTCCTGTTTTGTCTTGCTGGGAAAGAAACCGCTTGCGTGGTCGTCGCGACGTAAACCGAACGTATAATCTTTATTTTGCTGGACTGTCTCGGAAAACGTACCGTGAAGTAAAGTTGATGAACATAGTGAAAAGTGTTTCCTTGGTTGTGACTTCCAGTGCAGCTAGTGAGACGCAAGTACAAGTAGCTAGCTCAGACTCGTATCTACTGAGTAGTTGGTAGGTACGAGTGCAGTACCGTGAATCGGTGATATTCAGTTCAGGAAGCCAGACCTCGGAGTGTTTGAGAAACAAGTTGAAGACTATGAGAGTACTGTTGTTGTACACTATGTGTACGGGATAAGTCTTTCTAGTAGAGCAGTGCGTATATTCTACGTGTAGCCCACCTCTGCTTCACAGCGTCAGGGAGGCGAATAGCTGGCTTGAGCTAGGTCTGTGAACCATGTTGGTGTCTAGTTTAGTATTAATATTTATTATAACGCCCCTTCTTGCAATTGGTCAGGTGCTGCTACGCATATACATGAACGGTGGCGTGTGCTACTGTCGGGGACGTCTAGATGGCAGGACAGTCATTGTGACTGGTGCTAATACTGGAATTGGAAAGATCACGGCGCGCCTACTTGCGTCCCGTGGCGCACGCATTATCCTGGCTTGCCGCAATGTTGAGGCCGGACACAAAGCAGTTGATTGGATCCGTCAAATTGGTTGCCCCGGAGCTAACACTGCTCAACTGGTGGTCAAGAAGTTGGATTTGGCCGACATGGACAGTGTGCGTAAGTTTGCCCAGTACATCATAGACACTGAAGAGCGGCTGGACATTCTCATTAACAATGCTGGCGTTATGCGCTGCCCAAAGTCACAGACAAAGCAGGGCTATGAAACCCACTATGCTGTTAATCATCTTGGTCATTTCCTTCTAACTTACTTGCTGCTGCCCGTTTTGGAGAGAAGTGCGAGCAAGGAAAAGCCAAGTCGAGTCATCAACGTGTCATCACTTGGCCATAAGTCTGGTTTAATCGACTTTGATGATCTCAACTGTGACAGAGCGTACACACCGCGGCAGGCATACTGCAACTCCAAGCTAATGAACATCCTGTTCACACGTGAGCTTGCGCTGCGCTGCAGGGACCGTGCTGTTGTGGCATACAGTCTTCACCCGGGTGTCGCCTGCACTGAGCTGGGCAGGCACATGCAAAAGGACTTCAGCATGTTGTACTGGATTTTTGTTGTCGTACCGCTCGCTCTGCTTCTGTTCAAGTCGCCCTGGTACGCTGCACAGACCAGCATCCACCTCGCACTGAAGCCACATGAGGGCTTGAACAGTGGCGACTACTTCAGTGACTGTAGACCGAAAAGGTGTGCTCCGGCTGCGTATAATGATGATGTGGCAGGTCGGCTCTGGGAGGTCAGCAAGATAGCGTGTGGTCTTCGATAATGACAGCCTTCCTGGCAGCAATGGGTGCACGTTGACAACCCTTACATGGAATACATGTCCTGAGTCGCCTTGTCTTTCAGAATGTTTCACAGAGCATGTTTTACAAACTAAGACTCAGCTCAGCAGTTCAACAGTTTCCCGTCAACGATTTACTAACCATTTAAAATCTTGTAGGACGCATCACGCAGCTTCATAAGTAAAATTTGGCTTGTGAGCAACACTGGCTCGCACTCAATCACTGCTTTTCACAAATTCATTTCAGAAAAATATTTCAACTCAACGTTTCGGTCATAAAATAACTATCATCAGGAAGATTTACTAACCTACTACAAATTCCTAAATTACTACTTCTTGAAGTACATGTATGCCTTTATGGTTACTAGTACAATCGGTGTTTCATGCTAGAATCTCAAAGCGGAGAAATGTGTTCGGATGCATTTGAAAGCAGATTGATGCAAAAGGAATTGTTTTTCCCATGTTTTTGTTTTGTTTCTTTGAGTCTGGTGTCGTTCTTTTGCTAATTCCCGCGCCGCCTTCATGATATTACCTGTACTAACGTTATGCCTGCCAAGTACTGAGAGTTCTTTTCCTGGACCAGCAGGGCAAAATTCCTGGATTTTCCTCGGTTTTTCAGGAAACAATATGACACTCAGATGTTGAACCGAAATTAATAGAGAAAGCCGGAAAAGAACATATCGATACGACTTCAGTACTCTACCAGTTTTGTGCCTAGTTGTTGAAATGTCAGTATTTTTCCATGATTCCTCTTTCAACGCATGTTCCACCATCAAAAGAATCAAAGGCGATTATTCAGGGACTGTTCTGAGTGTTCATGGAAGGAGTACAAATGTACTACATGTAGTAGTACTGTAGTAGATCTTTTTGTACATGCAGTCAGTAACACTAGATGCTAAGGCTGCGTTTACACGACAACGCTGGGGGCGAAAACGCAACGAAATCCTTTCGGATCCATGGTTCATCGGTACGCGGAGCAAAACGTAAAAGTTGTACACCAAAACGGAAGAAAACCAAAACGCTGGCCAAGGTGGAAGAATTTGAAAACGGAAATGTTCTGCCGGATAAATTTGGGTGTGTAAACAGTCGAAACGGTGTGCTGGCCTCGTTTTCCGTCACGTTTGTTTCGTTTTCGGCCGTTTACACGGATCCGACAATCCAAAAAATTGTTTTTACAATTTTCGTCATGTGACGTGTGTTGTCGTGTGCCTGTTTTCAACCATTACTTGAGTGTGATTGGTGCTTCCACGGCAACACTTGGCACATGACGAACTTTGGCGGATCCTTTGCTCTCGTGTATACATGTAGACGCTTGAAAACGGTACAAACGGAGACCACCTCGGATCGGCTTTGATCGTGTAAACGTACGAAAACGAAAAAAGAAATGCGGGACTGAAAACGGAAAACTGGCCGTGCGTTGTCGTGTAAACGCAGCCTAAATCTCCGGATAACTGGCCCAGTTGTCACGTTTTGACGGGTTTACGGTATGTACATGATTGTAATGATTATGTGTATGTGCTAGCTAGACCAGGCCAGGTGGTCCAGTGGCAGTGGAGGTGTGCATGCAGCCACCATGGCTATGGCGCCAGTAGACTTTGCAGGAGGATGCTGGTTCAAGAAGTGGGACTTTTTTAGTACTACTGTAGCTACCGGTACCATGAATCCTTTGATCGAAAAAAGGTGAAATATTCCGACGATCGATCGCTGAGCTGATGAGGTCGACGCAATCTGTTGTCCCTCTGTCTTCTCCGGTGTTCCGCTGGTGGGGCTGGCGCGCCAAGGTAGCTGTTGACATTCCGGACTACGTAGTCGGTACCGTTCGTGAATCTCTGACCTGAGCACAGAAGCTCCTTTCAAGTGTCGAAATTCCGCGCTGTTTTCGCCCGCTCTATTCGCAATGATTCTGTCGTACAGTTTGCCTACTCGCCTATTCTTGAGGGCTTTGGTGACGGCTATTGCGCTAGTCCTTGCTCTGATCTCCATCGTACCACTGTCCCTGTCAATATTCCTAGCCGGATTCAGACGACAACCAAGGGCTGCTCTGCTACCTAGCAGGCGGCGTGCACGGTCTGATCCACCTTCTGTGTACTTCGACCCTTCCCTTGGTAAGCATGCTACAGCCACGGTCAATGGCGTGGAGATCTACTACGTGTGGTCGGGCGATGCAGACAAGCCACTGATGCTGCTATTGCATGGTTTCCCGGAGTGCTGGTACTCGTGGAGGCATCAGCTGCAGTGTCCAGAGCTTCAAGCTAAGTACCGCCTTGTGGCGGTGGACATGCGCGGCTACGGGCGTAGCAGTAAGCCCAGCTATTTCCCAGGAGCCTATCACAGCCAGCTGGTTGCCGAAGACATGCACCATTTCATCAGAGCACTGGGATACGACTCATGCGTTGTCGCCGCACATGACTGGGGCGGGCATGTTGCATACTCACTGGCGCGGCATTTCCCAGAGAGCGTGGACAGACTGATCGTTCTCGACTTGCCGGAGGAACGAGTCATGCTGCCGTTCATTCTGTTCAACCCATCGCAGATAATCAGAAGTCTGTACATAGCATTCTTTCAGTTGCCCGTGCTACCGGAGTTCATGTTTTCTATCTATGACTATGAAGCGGTAAACGCCGTGTTCAGAGGGAAAGCACTGGGCGTTACTAATGCTGATCGTATCTCAGATGAAGACATGCATGTGTACAAGTGGGCTATAAGTAGGCCAGAAGCCCTGAATGGATCCCTCAACTACTACCGCAACGTGCTGTCATTGATCGCGCCCATTCAGCCATTTCACAGAAGGGCCGTGGACTGCTACCCAATGCCCACGCTGATTCTCTGGGGTGAGAATGACGGCGTCCTGGACTCACGCATGGCTGGTGAGCACAAGAACAGTGGATTGTTTGACGATGTCAACGTGCATGTGATAGCCAACTCGAGTCACTGGGTTCAGCAGGATGAGCCAGACATTGTCAACAGACACATACTGTCGTGGTTAGTGAGCAAGGCCATGAAGTGAGTCTCAAACTTGATCTGAGCAAACCCTGGAGATGGAAATACCTCCTGGTGTCCTGAAATGGTGTATGTGAGCAGGTCACTTGTCCGTACTTGAGGTACAAAATGTCACACGATCCCAAAGTATTTTATAATGACGTTTAATGACGTTTATTCAGTACTGCGTTGATATTTATTATATACCCAGACACATCAAGGCTCAGTGATTGTAACTCGTATTGTGTTTGCAGCAATTCATGCTTACTTTTCCACCGCAATGAGTCTTGCTTCTGTAGATTCACAACCAACACCCTGACAATGATAATTATACCACTGTGGGTTGATACCAAATAGGCATGTAGAGCCTACATATGCGGGAACCACCCGGGCTTAGCAGCCTGATACTGGAAACCGATTCCTGGGAGAAAACAATTAGGTGCTGCTGCTGTGGACTACTCTGACAAGCCTGTCTATCCTGTAGGTGTCTTCAGGTCAACCCTAGGGCCAGCCCACATGGAGCTAAATTTCCCGTTTGGCCTGGAACTCCTGAGCTTCACCTCTACAGGATATTAAACTCAGGCAGTGGCATTTTCAGAGAGGAGAAAGGTCCTGCAACTGAAGAAAAAAGGACATTACACAGGGAGGGTGGTATTGGTGATTTTACATTGCAGAGTACCCACAATTATCATTCTTCATTAAAGTATCCTGCCTGTCCAAAGCTCTACCGCTAGGTGTCGCTCTAGATACTATTGATAGGCTATAGGATAGTAGGCTATACTGGGATTCCCACCTGGCAAGAGGAGTTTGTGAACTTGTCTTTTTTATTCATACCGGTAATCTGCATAGATGCGAAAAACTTGATATTTATACAGGATCGTATTGCACAGTTAGTTGCAAACAACATGAATACAGTCAACTTCGCTTATAACGACACTCGGCCGGGCATCAGAAAAGTGTCCTTATTCGCTAAGTGTCGTTATACCCGAAGTCTCATTATTATGTATTACAGTTGGATGGGACTTTGCTCTGGGCATGGACATTCTGTCGTTATTCGCAAATTGCCGTTATATCCGCAGTCGTTATTAGCGAAGTTGACTGTAGTAAATATGCTTTTTTCTAGGGATGAAACAATTATACCGATAACTCGCATATCGTTGATAAATATGGTGGTAAAGACACCCCTGGCAATATGGCGGTAAACACACGCCTGCCCACACACGCTCTCTAGGCTGCAAAGGTCTGGCACAGAGCTCTCCTTCTCACCACCACCACCATCAGTTCGCGCCTGGCGCCTGGTCGATGCATGGCTGGCGGTATCCGGCATAGCAGGCTGGTACATCAAGTAGCGCATGGCACATAGATGATGACACAGCAACGACATAGCTCGATTGCGACGTACGTTTCGTCCCCGCTGGACTCATCAGGCAATCTTCTTCTTGGATGTCTTCATACGGAGCTTGACTCGGGAGAATGAAGTCGAAGACACCACTGCAGCTGTACTTATGGTTGATAAATATGGTAGTAAAGACACACCTGGCAATATGGCGGTAAACACACGCCTGCCCACACACGCTCTCTAGGCTGCAAAGTTCTGGCACAGAGCTCTCCTTCTCACCACCACTACCATCAGTTCGCGCCTGGCGCCTGGTCGATGCATGGCTGGCGGTATCCGGCATAGCAGGCTGGTACATCAAGTAGCGCATGGCACATAGACGATGACACAGCAACGACATAGCTCGATTGCGACGTACGTTTCGTCCCCGCTGGACTCATCAGGCAATCTTCTTCTTGGATGTCTTCATACGGAGCTTGACTCGGGAGAATGAAGTCGAGGGGACGAAACGTACGTCGCAATCGAGCTATGTCGTTGCTGTGTCATCATCTATGTGCCATGCGCTACTTGATGTACCAGCCTGCTATGCCGGATACCGCCAGCCATGCATCGACCAGGCGCGAACTGATGGTGGTGGTGGTGAGAAGGAGAGCTCTGTGCCAGAACTTTGCAGCCTAGAGAGCGTGTGTGGGCAGGCGTGTGTTTACCGCCACAGGCCCGTAGCAGCCCCATTTTGGTTGGTCCGGCAAGATCCGACCTCGATGCCCCCCCCCCCCCCCCCGAGCCCACACTCCTACATATGCCGGTACATGTACATGTACAAAGTGTAAATGATTGTACGTGTATGTACAGTTGTAATTGTATGTAATTGTGACCATGCATAGTGACATAGGGCGAGAAAAGGAAGAAGGATGTTCTGCATGAGTCAGGAAAAAGGGCATCAGCATGTTGTGTCCGTCCAAACAGAACTTGGTGAAGCCTATGAAGGCATAGCAACAGTATCTAAACGCATGTGATAAAAGAACCAAAAATGGACCTTTGGTCCCTTGGGGGAGGAGAAAGGACATTGCAATGGAGGAATGGCAGGAGGTCATAAAACACAGGACAACACCCACATAGATCTATGTACATGGTATTCGCAACAACATGTACATGACATGTACTTGAGGACTACTAGAGTTCAAACTTCAAAGTATATACTCTTGCTATTACCATGTACTACCTCTACTACCTCACTACGGCTCTACTTATTGCACACATCATGGGTGGACATCCTGAGCTGCTTACATGTGTGAGCTCTAGGCCCAAGCGGCAAATGCTAGCACCCAAAGTAGCATAAAAGGGCCTTTTTGTGACTCCACACGATGCTAGCATAAACAGCAGTTTTTACCGGCATCCGATACATTTTTGCCAATTTTGGCATTCTGGATGTGGAATTCGGTCTAGATTACACTATGAAACTAGTATTACGGTACTACCACATTGATAATTGCACTACATTCAATTTGTTTGCATTACCTAGTTGTGACCAAGACCCACATTGCCATTGGTACTTCTTGGTATTTGCTCTTTTGTATTGCAAATATTTCCATAGCAACATGATGCCAACATCGCACCTTTAAAACTCTTTTTACATACCTGCTTTGTGAGAATTCATAAATAGCACGGAACACCGTTTTCAACCCAAATGTTTCACCATTACCATTCATAGCATTCCCAACTCATCACAACCACGCGCTCTTCAGCCGAACCATACAGACACCAGCAAGGACACTTCCGTTGAGAAAACGTACGTCGCAATCGAGCTATGTCGTTGCTGTGTCATCATCTATGTGCCATGCGCTACTTGATGTACCAGCCTGCTATGCCGGATACCGCCAGCCATGCATCGACCAGGCGCGAACTGATGGTGGTGGTGGTGAGAAGGAGAGCTCTGTGCCAGAACTTTGCAGCCTAGAGAGCGTGTGTGGGCAGGCGTGTGTTTACCGCCGGCCATATAATATTGCCAGGCCAGGTGTGTCTTTACCACCATATTTATCAACCATAAGTACAGCTGCAGTGGTGTCTTCGACTTCATAACTCGCATATCGATCGTTAAATGTGCAATCGATAATCGTTAATGTTCAAAACGAGTGCTAACGGTTTTTTTATGCATGCACATCAGTGACACTGACAGTATTCTAGCCATTGCACTCCATCCGATAGTGAAGACGAGTACAATCATGTACTTTTAAGCGCAGTAAAATTGATTTGTGGCTTTGAAAGAGATCGGGAGAGGAGACTTTGTCTTTTCGGTTCATTTGTTGGAGAGGTCCGAGATGAGAGCAGTTGCCAGCGAGTGATGACAAGATTCTTCGCTCTAGAAACAACATGAAATTTTCTAGTTCATGTTGATAAACCAGCCAGATGTCAACAGTGCGGAGCCACACATTTGTACTGTAGCAAAAGGTATCGTGGAATTTCTTCATAAACTGGTGTTCGAAGTACACGGGTAGAGCCGACAAGAGTCGATAAAACCAATATATCGATCGTTAATGATATTGGTCGATCGTTAGGAGTTATTGAATGATCGTTTCAGCCCTACTTTTTTCCCCCGAAGCTATTCAAAAGACGGTGCGGTTAGTAGCGTCTGGTGCAAGCCAGGGTCCACGGTGCTTTATTTCGTATCTTTGTGTGTGCGTGTGTGTGTATAATAATCTTTATTCCCGTAGCTATGCAGAAGACGTTACTTCAGTAACGTCTGGCGCTAGCCAGGGTCCACACAGCTTTAATTTGGTGTTTGTTTGTTTGTTTGTTTGTTTGTGTCACGCCTGGCGCTATCCCGTATCTGTCCCGTACTGTACCGTACCAGCAAAGACAGCTGGCCACAATATTTTTGTTTGTTTGTGCCATCGACATGCCTGGCGCTATCCCGTATATGTCCCGTACCATCAAGAGTACGGTACCATCAAGAGAATGAGTATATATATGCGAAGTGTATCGGGGGAATGCATTCAGTGCAGTAACATTTTGTGTGGATTTGTGTGCGAGGCCGAGATCCCACTAGCAGGCTGGCTGGGCCGCCTGTCGACCAGCCCAGGAATCGCATGTAGGCGGATAGCATAATAATTATAACGTTTATACAGTCATATAGATGTATAGCAGGGAGTCATATTATGTAAACGACTCCCTGCTGTATGGGGAGATTTTCTGGAAAGAAATACGAAGTAGGGAGACGATCAGAATGGATGTTAGTTGCCGTCAGTATAATAATAAGAGAAGAAGAACGCCCTTATCGGCAGAGTCAGCGCCGGTCCCAGGAAACGTCAGTACAGACATCCCGTCGACTCCAGAACGCCCGTGATCGGCAGAGTCAGCGCCGGTCCCATAGCTATGCAGAAGACGTTACTTCAGTATCTCAACGTTTTTGTAATACAATGATGTAGCTAATCAAAGGAAAAAGCATTTCCATCAGTTCTAACAACATGCACGAGGAGCTAGACAACAAAGCATAGCGCAGGGCCCTGAGCTTCCAAGCTCTCTCGTTTCAGGATTACCCAAAGGCTAACGCCTATCTGGGGGATCTCCTATTTGTGTATGTACTAGTAACATAGTGTGTGTGTGTGTGTGTGTGTGTGTGTTTGTGTGTGAAAAAAATGAAAAAATAGGGATTCACTGGCCAGAAAAAGCCACTTCAAACAGCTGTGTGGTGGATACCAGGCTAAAATTAGTGGCGGTCCATTCATCAGCCTTGCAAGCTGTTGAATGGTGTAATCACAGCATAAGTTGCCATGGCCGCTACCATCGCCTCTGGCGATGGGCGTCTAACGGTCAAACGGTGTGTGTGTGTGTGCGCGCGCACATGCGCGTGCGTCAGGAGGCGGTTGCCTTTTTCTTCAGACTTTCCCCGTTTCCTTCTTTTCCTCAAACCAATGAACAAAAATATTAAAATCGATTTCATCCAAGTTTTCACCGAGGAGGGCATCATTGGGAGCGGGCTGTTGGAGCGGCTTCAGAA